TTCCTCTGGGAAGATTCGTACTCCATATTGCCACGGAGATACCAATTGAGCGGCATTCAATGATAGATTTTCTCAGAGATTTCCGCTGCATTATGCATGGAATGGCTATGTTCGAAGGTCGAAAGCGTTGCTCCAGACATATGTTCAGTTGCTACCACCTCGCATCTGTCCACTGAATTCCATTGACAGCTCGACTTTCTTAGAAACATCCATTGCACAAGTCTTAGAACCACTATGTCCCGCGGTCTGCAGCCCCTCTTCAAGGAAAGCTCTGGTCAGGACCGCTGCAGACAAGCAGATTCAATGGCTGTCACTACTAAGCGTCTCTAGAGACATCCACTGCCTGAGCGAGAAACGACTGTGTCCCACGGTCAAGATTGTCTCTCGAAAAACATGTTGAGTCCCCAACGCGATGCTTCTTCGGATCGAATAGCGTTGACTGCTCCATGCATCTGGAGACAAAACACGATTCCTTGCGCGAAACGACCATGTCCATGGGTAGAAACGATTCTTCGGCAATAGTGCTGGCTCGATTCGCTGCAGATAAAGACATTGGATGGCTGGCAACAGCAGATCCTTACAGAGACTTCCACTGCCTGTTCACAATCTGGCTTTGTCCTATGGCCAAAACTTTCTCTCGAAACACACATTCAATCCAAACTGCGAGGCTTCTTTAGATTGAACAGCGTTGACCGATAGCTGTATCTGGAAACAAGCAACCTTTCTTCCGCGAAATGGCTATGTCCTATAATCTGCGGCCTTTCTCGAGCAATAATTGCAGTGAGAAACCCGGTGCTATTGCACTTTGAATGCCATTCAGCAGCAAATTCTCCTAGAACGATGGGCAGATTTGTACCGATCTTCGCCATGTTGCAGAGATTAAGCCGTTACTCCATTGCCGACTTCATCCTGGATCGGGCAGATGTGTACATCAGATGCCATTGAACGGCAGATTTTCTCGGAAAGCATATTACTACTCGACTGGTTTTTGACTATGTTGCATAGATTGAGCCTTCGCTGCATCGGCAGCTTAAGCCTTGATCGGACAGATGTCTGCACCAGATGGCATGCAATAGCGGATTATCCTGGAGAGCATCGCTAAATTCGATCGATTTTCGCTATGTCTTATAGTTTGAATCGTCGCTCCATTAAAAGATTCGGCCTTGATCGGGCAAATGTTTACATTAGATGGCATGCGCAGCGTCTCTCTCCTAGAGAGTATAGCGAATCTCGATCGAATTTCGCTATGTCTTATGCTTTACAATGTCGCTCTGTCAACACCTTAAGCTTTGATCGGACCCATAGGTACATCAGGTGGCATTCACGGCATCTTTCTCCCAGAGACCTTGTCGACATCCGATCATTTACGGCTATGTGCTATGCTTTGAAGCTTTCTCCAGCTGCAGGCATGATCGAAAGTCCGCTGCATCTGTGTAATGGATGGCATTCAGTGACTGAGTTTTGCGGAGAGAAAGGCAAATTTCGATCGATTTTCGCTATGTCGCACAGTTCAGGACCTTTCTCCGGTAAGAAGAGCAGTCGAGAGGCTGGGAAATCTGCACATCAGATGGCTTTCAAATCAGCGTTTTCTCTGACGAGACTAACAAATCTTGATCGATTTCGCCATTCCTATGCTTGCAACGCCTACTCCAGCAACAAGTATAGTGGCAGGTCCGAAGTATCTGCACATTCGACGGCTTTGAACAGAAAAGTTTCCCAGAGAGACTGGCCAAAAGTCGGTCGATGTTCGCTATGTCCCATGGTTCAAAGCCTTTCTCAAAGAGCACCAATAGTCGTCAGCCCGGGGTATCTGTACGTTGAATGGCATTGCGGCATCTTTCTGCCAGAGTGAACTGCAACTTTCGATCGATTTCCACTATGTCCTACGCTTGAAACGCCTTTTCTGGAGATGGGAGTGGTCCGTAATCCGAGGCGTCTGCACATTCAGAACCTTTCAAGCGCAGATTCTGCCAGAGAAACGAGCAAAATCGTTCGATTTTCGCTATGTCCCACGGCTTCAAACATGTTCCAAACAGCACGTATAATGGCAATCTTGGCGCATCTGCACATTCAGAGCCGTCCGGCGAGGTATTTTCCAGAGCGATTGACAATATTCGTTCTCGAATCGCTATGTCCGCGCCCCTCCGCCCTGATTCAACAACACGCATGGCCCGAGATTCGGGGCATCTGGAGACTGGACGCCTTCCAACGACAAATTCTCGCGGAGAAGCTGCCAACATCCATTCAGAAATTGCTATGTCCACGTTCAATTCAGCTGATCCCGCAACACATGTGGTCCGCAGTCCGGGGCATCGGGAAACTGGACGCCTTCGAACGACAGATTATTGCGGAGAAGCTGCCAATGTTCGTTCAAAAATCGCTACGCCCTACGATCTCGAAGCTGTTTCCAAACAAATTCATGAGCCAATTCCGGGCAATCTGCATATCAGAGACCGTCCAACATCATATTCTTGTGGAGATATTGGCGATATTGGCTCAACATTTGCTGAAAGTCGCTATGTCTCGCAGTCTCAAACCTTTCTCCGAACAAATTTCTGGTCAAATTTTGGGTCATTTGCAGATTGGGGCACATCCAACGATGAAATGTTCCAGAGAGAATGACAATATTCCCTCGGAAATGGCTATGTCCTATCGTTCAAAACGTTACTCCAAGCAGATCTCCGATAAGACTCTGGGGCGTCTGCAGATTGAGCACCTTCCAATGACAAGATACTCCAGAGAGCATGCCAATTTGCACCCAAGGTCGTTCAGAAATCGCTATGTCCATAGCTTATGGACCTTTCTCCAAAATTATTTCTGGCCACAGTCTGAAAGATTTGCAGATTAAGCACCTTCAACTGACAAAAACTTGGAGAGAGAATGCTAATATGGGCTTATAATTGATCAGAAATGGCTATGTCCAACGCTTATCGACCTTTCTCTAAAAAATTTCTAGGTCAAAACCTGAAGCATCTGGAGATCAGGCTCCTTTCGAAGAAGAATTCTTCTAGAGGAACTAGCAATTGACGTTCGAAAATGGCTATGTGCAACGCTTTAACAGCCTTTCCAGAAACATCTCTACTTCGCATCGTCACAGTTGAGCAGACTGGGGACCGTGCAACGACAAATCTGAGCGGAGAAACCAGCAATATTCGCTCAAAATAGCATGGAAATTGCTATGTGCAACGGCGAAAGCACTCTCTCCGAGAAAACCTTTGCTCCATATTGCTACGGATCTGCATATTGAGAAGCATGCAGCGGAGAATTCTCCCAGAGAGGCTAGCAAAATCCATACGAAAATCGCTATGTCAAACGCTCGAAAACCTGTCTCAAGGAACAGCTTCAGTCGACATCGCTGCAGATCTGCAGATCAAGAAGCGTAGTACGACAGATCATTCGAGAGAGACTAGTAAAATTCGTACAAAAATGGCAAAATTCATCCGAAAATCACTGTGTCCAGCGTTCAAGATCCTGTCTCGAAGAATCTTTGTCGTCTGCATCGCCGCAGATCTGTAGATTCAAGAGCGTTCAGTAACAGATTCAGCTGGAGAAACAAGCAAAGTGCGACCAGAAATGGCAGAATTCATTCGAAAATGGCTATGTCAAACACTCCGAAACCTGTCTCCAATACTCGTTTTAGTCCGCATCGCCCAAGATTTGCAGATTCAAGAGCGTTCAATGAGAGATTCTTCCAGAGAAACAAGCCAAAATTGTTCAGAAATGGCTATGTCAAACGCTCCAAAACCTGTTTCCAAGAATCATTTCAGTCCGCATCGCTATGAATCTGCAGATCCGAGAGCTTGCAAGTGAAGACTCTTCCGGAGATACTAGCAGAATTCGCTCGAAAACCTTAGAATTCACGCAAAAATGACTATGTCAAGTGCTCAAAAATCATCACTCCGGAACAACATTTGGTCGATATCGCTGCGTGTCTGTAAATTGAGAAGCGTTTCAGGGACAGTTCTTCCAGAGACACAAGCAAAAATCGATCAAAATAGCAGAAATTGATTCAAACATCGCTATGTCCAGAGCTTTAAAAATGTGACTCTGGCAAAACATTTAGTCAATATCGCTGCGGAGCTTTAAATTGAGCAGCATGCAGCAGCAGATTCTTTCAGAGACATGGGTCAAATGCTTTCGGAAATAGCAACAATTCGATCGAAATCGCTATGTCGCATGCTTCAAAGGCCTCTCTCTGGAACCATTTTGGGTCCACGTCGTCATAAATCTATCAATTGAGCAGCATTCAACGAGTGATTCTTCCAGAGACACTAGCCAAATACGATGAAAACAGTAGGATTTTATCAAATTTTCGCTATGTTCGATGCCCCAACACGCTTTCTCTAGGGAATTCTTCAGTCAGCATCGCCACAAATCTGCAACTTGAGCAGCATTTAATGGGAAAAGATTGCAGAGAGACAAGCCAAATACGATGAAAACAGGAGGATTCAATCGAATTTCCGCTATGTCCGATGCCAAAAACCCTTTCTCCAGGAAAACATGTGGTCCATACCGCCTCACGTTTGTCGATTGAGCAGCATACAACCATAAATTATTCCAGAGATACGGGTCAAAGTAGACAATTCAGGCATTCTAAGGCCAAAAACTGAGGGCAAATGAGGCATATGCATCGATATATGGCGAAGCATGTGAAGGCTTCGATGCTTTGTTGACTTACGAAGAGGAAGCATGTGAGCGATCAGGGGTCAGTATACAGGGCAGCGCATACTGTAGAGAAGGCATATGACACAGTAGAGAAGGCATGTGACACGGTGGAGAACTCAGATGACACAGCGGAGAACAACACAGTACGGTGGAACAGGGAGAAATTACGGCTAAGTCCCCGATCAAGGGGAAGCTTCATGCATTCAGTCGTATCTTCGTGAGCTTATGTAGGAGGCATCTGCCCGCAGGCGGCGTCCACACCAAGCAGCAGACCAAATCTACTGCATTCTAGTGCAAGTAGATGTATGTTGTAGGGAGTGCAGAAGAGAAGAGCGCTACTCGTCATCCTCCTCCACCACAGAAGCGGACTTCTTGGCGGTCTTGGCCTTCTTGCTCTTGGGGCCGGCAGGCTCGCCCTCCTCGTCGTCCTCCTTCTTGGCGGACTTGCGCTTAGTCGTCTTCTTAGCTGGAGTCGGAGCGGCGGTAGCAGCGGCGCCGAAGTCGCCATACTGGTCTGTCGCGTTCTTCTTGAGCTTCGCGAACTTCTGGCTGCATATGGGTTAGCATGTGGTGAAGTGATGATCAGAGGAGCACATGTGAGGGACTTACCGAAGGGCGTTTCCGACGTAGTCGTCGGTACCGCTCTGCGTGTTGAGCATCTGCGCGACCTGGTCCCAATTTGGGGTGACGGGGTTGGCAGTGATGATCGCCAGCAGAAACTGGCGCTCCTTGGTCTCGTCCCAGTTGACAGGCATGGTGATGGTGATGTGTGTGGTGGTTGTTGTAGGTGGATGGGGTTGTGTTGGAGTGGTGTTGTTGTGGAAGGAGGCGCGGTTGTGTGTTAATGTTTGGGTGTTGGGGGAAAGAGAGCTGAAGCAGAAGAAATAGAAGAAAGTCGGGGCACGGTCAAAGTGGAGCACGAGCAGAATTTCTGCCTGTGTGTGACATGTGCTATTGCCTGAGCATGCGCGGCCAATAGGCACTCACTGTTTGCCTATTTTCACGGGCAGAGCAGGTCCGCACGCGCGTGAAACCGGGATCAGAACGCCTTCACATGTCCAGGAGAGCTCATATTGGCCAATGGGGACGCCTAGAGCGGGCTCTACGAGGCCCCGTAGCTTTCTTACGTGCTCAATATGAGCTTCACTTTAGCTACACACATGCTGGGTGTTGTGGAGCAGACGCGCAGATCAATCATGGGGGTCCCGAGAAGTCACGCGAACGATGAATCACACAAACATGCCTTCAGGGCCTTCTCCGACACATTTGTCCGGTGGGAATCAAAGAGCACAATACTTAGAGGGAAGACGTGGATTTCAGCATCAATTTGACCGTCAGGTCATCGTAATCTACTCAAGATCCGCGCGGCGGAATCTGCTTGTATGTCTTGTAGCTGCTCGTTTCGTGCCATTCTTATGCTCCAAGCACTCTCCGTCCAAGATGCCCAATCCTCAATTCTGTAGAGCCTGAGCCTGACGAAGAAGTGTCACGTAACGATCCACCTAGTCATCGCCATTGCTACCCTCAACCTCAGACTTGACCTTCTTGGCCGGAGCCTTGTCCTCGTCGTCCTCCTCGGTGTTGCGCTCGACCTCCTTCGCCTTGCGCTTGCCAGCGGCGCTGCGAGGCTTAGCAGGTGTCTCGGTGACAGCCTTGGAGAGACCGCGCTTGGCTGGCGTCTTTGGTGGAGCGCCGTCAGTGCTGGTCGGCTCGCCGAATTGGGTCTTCGCGGCGAGCTTGAGCTTCTTCAGCTTTTGCCTGTGAGGTGGATGGTTAGTTTCAACGATTGGAAGGCGACGAGGGACGGTCAGTGAGGGACGTACTTCACAGCTTCCTCCGTAACGCCTTCGCCCATGTCCTTTGCGACCTGAGCCCATGGTGGCGATGGCTGGGTGTGATGAATGATGAGCAGCAAGAGCTGCTTCTCCTTCGCGTCGTCCCAGGTGACAGGCATGATGGATGTGTGTTGTTGTGTTGGTGTGTTGGTGTGCGGTTAAGGGTTGTCTTTGGGGCGGAGGGTTGTGCAGTTGTGGTTGTGGGTGAGAAGAAAGAGAGAGAAGGGGAGAGCAGCAGCTGGAAATTGTTTTGTACCCCAGATTAGGTTTGTTGTGCTACAGTGAGCAAAGCTGGGTCCTATCGACCCTGACCAATGGGTCAATTTGCTCCATCAGGTCCCCTCTAATGCAACATGACCCCCTTTGAAGTGATGGCTCCGTCAAGCAGTAACGCGCAGTGAGTGCAATAGTGTTGGAGAATCAGGTGTGTCAACTCTTCGGCTTGCTTAGGGCAAGCCTTCAGATCTGATCTTCTTCCTCCTTGACACGCTTGGTCGACTCATGCTTGCCCTCGACGCCGCCGACGCCCTCCGCATCGTCCTCAGCCATCTTATCAGCCTTGCGCTTCAAGCCCGATTTGACGGTAACCTCGCCAGTCGCCTTCTTCGCTCGACCTTTGCCTGCAGAGGCCCCAGCCTTAGGCTTGGCCCCGTCACCGGCGCCAACGTCTCCAGCCTCTCCGAACTCCTCCTTCGCCTTGATCTTCAGGAAGTTGAACTGCTGACTACCACCCAGTTAGCGGCGCAAGGCAGCGCGTCTCGATCCTCCCTTACCGAACGGCCGAACCAGTACAGCCCTCGTTCATCGCAGCTGCGACCTTGTCCCAGTTGGGAGTTGAGATCGTCGACAGGTGGATTACAGCCAGGAGCAGCTGCTTATGACGAGCGTCGTCCCACTTTGCTGGTGGCATGGTGGCAGCGATTGATGGCGCTTACGGTGTGAAAGAGGTAATGCTGGTTTGGGATATGTTGTTCGACTACAGTGGTGGAGGTGGAGTCGGTGTGTCGTGTCGAAAGCGGAAGGGGATTGTTGTGCTATAGCTTTGGCCGCGCAAGGTCAAAAACTGAAGCACGCCAGCTTCAACGGTGCAGGGGCAACTTCACTTCAGGTCTGCCCGCGATAGCCACTCATGGGTTGTCTGAACTACGACTGTCGCTAGGCTTGCAGACGTCGCTTGATCGCAGGGCAAAATGATGGAACAGCGCGCAGGGTGTCGGGCAGCTGCTGGAAACTCAAATGATGAGGGGATATGCGGATGCGGACAACAACCGGGATCCTCGAGCAGCCAGAGTCCTTTGGCCGCTTGGAAGTGAGGCCCATCGATCCTAGAAACCACCATCACAGGCTGATCCTGCGTGCTGGCACAGTAATTTGCCGCTGTCTGACGGGTGTCTACACATGAGAGCTGAGCGCGTTCACCTGAATCGATCGTAGTACATAAAAGATACCGAGCTGCCACTACTTACTACCAGGAGCCCGTCCGCTGTCCTGCCGTCCATACAGGCGTGGAGTCTGGTGCTTTCCTCCAAGAGAACCAAAAAGTAAACGAGGTCCCCATCAGCCCAACGTCCGCGTTCGGCGGGCGACCATCTCACATTCGCCGCGGCGATGCCTGAAAAAGTCCCAGATGTGCATTGCAGCACTTTGTAAATGGTGTTGGAGACTGGGCGTGTGGAGAAGGATGGATGTGAAGTTCGGACACCCTGCTGAGAAAACGTCCGTGCTCGCGTCTTAGCGCGAAACTTCGGCCAGGACAACCCAGATCTTCGGGACGCGTTAGACCATTGCGACTTCCGATGCTGCATTATCTTTTGAACCTCGTGAATCCCTTCAAGGACGTCGCATAGGGATGACATAGTCGTCAGATGGCAGGTGAAAGCAAAGAACAGCTCCAAGACCGCTGGAACTATCTCTACAAAGAGTACCTCCCAGCATTAGCCAAAGCACGAGATGAGTCCCAACCCACTTGGCCCGTTTTCCTAGATCATTGCTTTGCTCGGATCGTGCTGGACAATGCGGTCGGCGTCGACAAGCCATGGACCAAAGTGCTCAAGTCACCGGCCTACAAACATATGTCCGAAGAGCAGCTAGGGACTGCAATCGAACTTGCCGAGAAGATAGCCCAAGGTAGTGCAAATCTGGTTGAGCTAGACGAGCACAGCCTACAGTTACGTGGAAAGCAGAGCAAGAAACGAAAGGCTACAGACAGTACCTCCAGTGATGCCGATGCGACTGTGAAACAACCGGCCAAGAAGAGCAAGAACAAGAGCACTGACCCCACGGTGTCATCTTACTTCCTCCCGATATCGAGCCCCAGGGGCAATGCGAAAGCAGATGTCAGCAAAAAGAAGTCGCCGGAAGCTAAAGTCAAGACTGAAGAGGATCCCGACATGCCGGTTCAAGTCAAGCGCATCCAAGGCTCAAACTTGACTGCGTTCAAAAAGAAGATCTTAACGATGTTGACTGAGATTCCACGCGGTCGCTGGTCAACATATGGAGCCATGTCGGATTATCTGAATGAGAAGCATTCGAAGACCTGTGCTCGCGCAGTGGGAAGTGCGATCAAGAACAATCCTTTTGCGCCTGAAGTTCCTTGCCACAGAATCCTTGCTGCTGACCGCACGATCGGCGGCTTCAAGTGTGGTGGATGGGGAGAGAGTGGGAAGTATGCACACGAGAAGCATCAGCTGCTCAAAGACGAAGGTGTTAAATTTGACTCCAGCATGAAGGTCAAAGGCTCTCCGTTCCGAGACTTCAGTGTGTAAAGACATCTCGACACAATTTTCCATCAAGTCCTTGAAGTCGTCATCGATCTGTGCGGATACATGTACAGTCATCGTCGACAACCGAGCAACCTGGCAATTCGGCATGTCGAGGTTTGGATGCGACAAAAATTTCGGACCTGTCTAAAACGCGTCCAGGTCATTCACAGAAACTACATCTCGATCAATGATGATTGATCAGGCTTGATCGCATGAAGGCGTAAAAGATTCTTGGACTGTCTCCACATGCGAGGGCGGATTGTGCGGGGTCTAAGTTAGGACTGGCTTTCCAATTCGAGAACTGGCTTCTCCCTCCACAATTTCGTTCCGTCACTACACCTCGTTGCGACCGCGGGGTAACTTGCCTTACCAGCTCAATGAGATGCCGAAAGCGCCGAGAATTGCTGTAGGAGCACTACCTCCACAACATCGAGTGCACGAGTTCTGCTGTTTCTGGAGCTGCACTAGTGTGCCGTTTCATTAACATATGCTGTGATTGGGCTCACAGTCTCGGACTGAGTAACATCGGCCACGATTTGGCCACTAGGATTACAGACCTAACCACTTTTCACATGCTGTTTACAGAAGTAGAGGTGCACCAGGGACAAAGCTAGCAGCGGCAGTCTGCATTCGTGCATGCCGCCCGCAGTTCAGGATTGCCACAGGACCGACTGACTGCACCCGACGAGCATACTTATAGGGTGCATGCGCTTCACAGTCTTGCAGTCCCTCCCCTGAATTGACCACAATCATTCATCAAACCATGGTCACATTACAAGCGACCCCAGTGCCTGCACACCAACTCGTGTACGAGCCAAACAGCCTACCGAAGCTTCGATCAAATTATGGAGACTTCCTCGATCAGGACTCCGTCGCGTGGATGCGAGAAACCACAATCGATACCCCAATCGAAGAAATGCGTCACCGCTTCGAACAAGACGGCTACATCTTCGTCAAAGGCGTCATGCCTCGTGAAGACGTTCTCGACATGCGAGAAGCCTACTTCACACACATGCAACCCACCGGCATCCTCAAACCAGGCACATCACCACGCGAAGGGATCTTCGACAACACTCAAGACCCCATAGCACAGCACGGCGTAGGCGGAAGAGACCTCCCGGAGGATCGACTCAAAGTCGATAAATTAGTCTCAGCACATACGCATCCGATCTACAAAGCTTTTCTCGAACATCCCAAACTTCGCCAGTTTGTTCGAGATTTCATGGGCTGGAAGAAAGATGTCCTCGTTACTCGAACACTGTTACGACATAACGTACCCAATGGCTTCAGTACAGGAATCCACTACGATAAAATCTTTCTTCGAGCGGGCGACGCTGAGTTTCTGACTGCTTGGGTTCCAATCGGTGACTGTTCGCCAACAGGTGGAGGATTGATGTATCTGGAGAATAGCACAGATATTGGACTTGCGATGGAAGCGGATTTCACAAAACGAGCGGAGTCGTTCACGAAGGAGGAGAGGATTAATGGGTTTAATCAGAATATGATGCGGGATGGACAGCTTTCGCATGATGCGGCGGAGTTGACGAGGCAGATTGAGGAGGGGAAACATGGTGGGGATAAGAGGGCAAGAAGGTGGATTGTGGCGAATTATGAAGCCGGGGATGTGGTGTTTCAGTAAGTCTGATCGTTCCACATTAATCGTAAAAGATGTGCTAATATGCTACGACAGCAACCCTTACATGATCCATGGAGCCATTAAGAACGATGACCCCGCAGGCAGGATTCGATTGAGTACTGACCTGAGATTCTACGAAGAGGGCAGTGACCTCGATACGAGATGGATGAGAGGAGTCTGGACACCTGATGACGGGTTGTAGGATAGGACGAGGATAATAGGGCTTGTACTTCGTATATACGTCAATATTGCAATGACAGCAAATTCCAACCAGGGGTATCAATGCTCGCTGCTGATTGTTTTCCTGTCCACCATAAATCAGATTGTTCCATCGATGCTTAGCGTGATGCTATCAGCCACGCCTGGCTTCGCGAGACAGTTTTCGCGCTGCATGCTTCTCACGCGACCGACTATCCTCTCTCCCGCGGGCCTCGGTGCGACTAGCCTTGCGTTTGGGAGAGCGAGGTGCAGCAGGCCCGAGTAGTATTGATCTGGTCTTGTTGTACAATTGCTCCGTTGCCAAAAATGGCCAAATGAAGACGCTGTACGCCACTTTCAAAGGGAAGGCAATGATGCTACTGAGCGTCGATAGTCCAGTTGCAACTATGCCAGGGTTCTGCGAATGCTGTGCGGCAACAGCAGCAAGACTGAGAGCCTCTTTCAGCCGCGTCTCCAATGATCCCAGTCGCTGCTCCAAGTTCATGCCCATCGTCAGAGTTCGTTTCTCGTATCGTCGTAAGGCTCGGTCTAGGCTATCTAGACGGCTATCGTAACGTCTGGAAATCTCATTCGACATGTCATTGATATCCGCCTTTTGTGCCATGTTCATCGTTGGTGGAACGATAGCGTGGTCAGAGAGTCGCGCCTCGAGGTCTGTGATCCGCTCGGCAAGCTTGTTGATTGTGCTCTTCTCGTCAAGTGCTGATGCGAAGGGGTCGTCTACTCCTGTGACTGTCCGCTGAAGGTGTAGCGTGCGGTTCGTGATCATGCGTACGATTTGGCGTACTGGACGTATTTCGGCCGCAAGTAAGAAGATGGACAGATTGTAGTCGGAGACTAATCCGTTGCTCGGCCCGGAAAGCTGCGCGCGAATAACGTGCAGCAGGTAGGCAGCCAAGATAGGGAAGACGAATGTGCCTCCCAGAGCCAACAACTCTTGCTTGCGAAGACTAGCAGCAGCTTCTTCTTGTTTGCTGATCTGCCGTATACTTGACGGCTCCTTGTGTTCCGTCGATGCTTTTGGCGACTCCCCAGCAGACGAGGCAGTCTCGATGGCGGTCTCATCCTCGAGGTCATCCTCGTCGAGGTCCGGCAGTGTATCCCGCCGCAGCGTTTGAGCAGAGTAATACCAGTCCCAAGGCAGCCGTATACTCCAGTTCATGAATATGGCCGCCAGCCCAATTAGCAGCACATCTGTTACGAAGGCGCTTCCATTATTGAAGAACAGTCCTCCCAGCGCTGGCAGCAGTGCAAACGCTAGCGGCGAGGAGTGCCAATTCGTCATCTCGTTCTCTTCATCATCCGCGCGTCTCTTGCTCGTTCGGGGGTTGATATAGTCGTCGGTGAAGGAGCGGGTCGCTTCGTCGATACTGGAGAGCGATATCAAGGATGATCGCCGTCGAGGCTGTAGCGACGGCCGCGGCGAAGGCGATAGGCCATCGCTGGACTGTCGGTGGGGTATACGCGAGCGGATAGTCGCAGCATTGGCTGGTGTTGCTGAGGTGCTTGCATTTCTCACCGCGGTGGTGGAGGTGGTGGCCGCTCTCGCCGGAGGTCTGGGTTCAATGTCGGCCATGCTGGCGTGGGCTGACGTCGCGTCTCATGGGAACTCTGGCATGAGTCGCGCGACGGCTGAGGGTGTCAAGTATAAGGCTGGCGCATTCGTCCGGGCAGGGTGGAGTCTGGTGACAGAGAGGTGTGGTCATTGCCAGACCCGACCACCGCCCTCTGCTGCAGTCCCGCGTCCTCCCACAACGCTCCGAACCTGGCGCCGCGGCTCTGCACTGGTCGTGCTTGCTGTTCTGCGGTCGGGAAGTCTATTGCTTTGGCGCGCCAAGCATCGGCAAGTGACCATTTCTCGTTCGCAGAGTGCCCACCTTTTGGACGCGACGAGCGCACAACGCTTCAGTTGGGTGTCACGCAGACTGTGCACGTCGAATCACAGTTCCCGCGGCCAAGATACGCCTCTGCTACGATGAGACCGTTGTGCGGGTGATCGCCATGCAGATTGTCGGTCCGCTGCCCGATCGCAGTAACCACACTCCTTTCACATGCTACGAGCCACCACACGGGCATCGACGCGTCCGACTGCCGCATCCAATAACATCTCCACTGTACCGCCCTGCAGGAACAATGCGTTCACGCATGCAAATGTACGGCAGGCGATGTGTTGGGTCCAGTGAGAATGTGCTGCACGAAAATGGTTGAGGCATTCCTCAGCTGAGATGCCCTCCCGTGGCTCGCGCAAGACTTTACTTTTTCGTCTGGTACCTGGTACGCGGAGACGGCAATTTCAAACTCTTGCAACTCAGCTTCATGTATGTCTTAATGCGTTTCCTGGAAGCGGGCAATGCAGTAAGGTATAACAGTAAAAACATGCTCATTAGTACTCTGGAGTGGGTGACTGCGTGTGAATCGTGTACACGGTCCTCTCGCCCTATTCTGAATTGCAGCTACTTTTACAAATGGTCATGTCAGCAGCTCAGCTTCGTCCCACTCGCTGTCTTCAATCACTGGCTCCGAATGGGGCGTCTGTGGCTGCACTGTCATCTTGAATGGCCTTCGCTCTGGCGTCGGATCACTCCTGAACGCCTGTTGATGAACATGCACCGAAGCTGCATCGTCCTCGCTGCTGTCCTCGATACTGGGCCACCCGTCTCCCACGGCAATGTGTCGTAAGTCGTCCTCGCCTTCAGACTGCTCGGATTCGTCATCGAGGACATCCGCTGCCACAGAAGTACCTTTCTTGGCTCGCTTCGGCTTGAATAATGCTTTTAGCTCCTTCTCTCCGCGCATTCGCAAGCTCAGCTCGGTGACGAGATCTGTCCACTGAGTCTCAGAATGACAAGATGGACAAGGTCCGCTTGAGCGAACAACAATCTCCTCTCCTGGACTTTTGCGAAAGTGTGCGGCCAGGCACTGTAGGTGCGAGAGGGCAGAACAGCCATCGGAGGGACAGATCAATGTCGCAGCGCCGCTCGACGGCAACCTATCTTTGCAGATGGAACACTTCAGAATGTGTTCGTCATTAGCTAGAAGAGCTTGGCTCTTCTCCAAATGTCCTTTACGTCTTGCATAATCGAGATCAAGCCCATGGATGCCGGTTCCTTCGGTTGCAGCCTGGCCGCCGTCTTGCTGTTTGGAGTTCTTCAAACTACGTGATGATTCATTAATGGTAACTTCGATACCCTTGGGCAATGTTTCTGTTGTTTGCTCGACGAGTTTGCTCCAGACGCGAAACACATCCTCGCAGTAGAATGTCAATTTTAGGGGCCATTGTCGAAAACTTCTTGCCCGCAGTAAAAGGTGTAGATTTCTCAAGCGATCTGTCAAAGATAGACGAGGTCGCTTTGAGCGTTTTCGAGCCTTTCCCGTCTTGGGCGATATGCGTGTGGTCATCGTAGCCTGTGTGATTCGTGAATCTGGTGCAATGTGTCGCGTCAACTGCGGATTCTGCCACGCCCATCTATACCAGATTAGAACACCCACTCTAGAGATGACAGCGACATGCACAGCGAAGATGAGAGCTGAGCACGCGTAAAAGTGGCAAACGGCTGTTCCAATCGTTTCGTACTCACTCGAATTGCAGTGCGGCAATCTTGCTTGGAAAACCTGTGACGAGACATGTCATCTCCCACGGCCGCAACGAGTCTTTGGAGGTCCGAACTGCGCCTCCTTTTGACTCGCCATTGTGTTGACGCAGCCGACGTGGGGGATTTGGCGTGCTGCCGATATACAGCGAAGCGTGTCGCGCGATGGACCTCAGCAAATAGCACGCGTAAAAGGCGGGAATGGGAGCAATGCCTTTCTCCATTGCACCAATGCAGCGGACGAATGACACGTGCGGCTTCGTTCAGTCGATTTGGCGTCTGCCACTCGCGACGGTCTTGCTGAAGTCGCAACCCAAGCGATCTGCTCGACTTCACGTCTGCCTGCTAAGCCTGATTAGGTTAAGCGTGGGAAGTGGCCAGTGCAGGAGTAATCCGGGTCGCCGCTGTGTTGCTCACGCTGTTCACTTTCCACAGCCGATATTTGCACGCGACATACGTCTCATCTGCCCGCGAGAGATCACAAACACTCGATCACGACGTGTTCCAACATCTGTCTGTGTTGCGCCCACAAATGTAAAGAATCGAGGTGTACCGGAAAGTCAAGGCTCGAGCCGATCTGCTACCCGCATCTCTGGCTTGGACTTGGATCCATCGCATACCTTCGCTGTTCCGCTTCTCCACCACCTCCCACACCTCCCACACCCGCAACGACTCCTCGGACTACCGCGCAACAGTAGTGCGACGATCCCTTGCTCGCCGAATGTATTCATAGGGAGAGGACGCAATGGTGCTGCCTTCCAGCAGTGGCGGAGGTGCTGTCATGGCGATGCCGCCTGCTCGGCCGTCGCCAGTGGCAGTCCCGTCTACCGACTCGCCAGGACCGTCGACAAAGAAGCAGATGAAGGCTCCAGCAGTGCCGGGCACTCTGAACGGGCCGCCCTCAGGCAACAACCATGCCATTCCGCTCAGCGCACGTCGTGCCGAGGCGCTGGACCTATCGACGGTGGAACGAAGGGGACAACCGAACATGCGACCGTATCCAGAGAAGAGGTCGCGGCTGTTTGACATACCGAACGCGCCCATATATCGACCAACCGAGGAGGAATTTCGGGATCCGATGGAATATATGCGTAAGATCGCTCCAGAGGGGAGCAAGTACGGCATCGTGAAGATCGTGCCTCCGGAAAGCTGGAATCCGCCGTTCGCTATCAACACTGAGGTACGCGAGAACCTTGCCTTCGCAATGGCAGTAACACATTGCATTGCAATCACTGAAATCTGACTAACATGTTGTTCGAATAGCGTTTCCACTTCCGAACGCGACGTCAAGAGTTGAACTCGGTCGAAGGCGGAAATCGAGTGAACAACGACTATCTGGACCAGCTTGCCAAATTCCACAAGCAGAACGGACATAACCTCAATCGATTCCCCAGTGTCGACAAACGGCCCCTGGACCTGTATCGCTTAAAGAAGACCGTGGAGAGGAAGGGTGGCTTCGAGCAGGTGTGCAAGGGCAAGAGATGGGCCGAAGTGGGTAGAGACTTGGGCTACAGCGGTAAGATCATGTCGTCGCTATCGACATCGCTCAAGAACTCGTACCAGAAATGGCTCTTGCCGTATGAGGAATATCTCAGGCTGGCAAAGCCGGGCGTGCACCAACAATTGGAGATGATGAATGGTGGACCATACACGCCCTCGCCGGGACCATCTCCTGTCAAGCGGCCAAATGGACCGATGCCTGGAGAACACGCACCCACAATGCAAGCTTCTGCTGCACTTCATGCGTCTCTCAATGGCCAAAGTCCACACCCTCCTTTCCCGGGCAACCACGAGATCATGCATCCTGTGCACCCGCACGATGCGCCGCGTCCTCCTCATCTTGGCACTCCACAGCCTCCTCAAAGCCACCCAGCGCCGCCCAGTACTGGTGGCTTCACCCCAGTAAATGCAGGAGGTTTCACCCCCGTCAACAGCGCGCAACCTCCTCCACCGCCGCCACCCTCCGGAGGCTTTACTGCAGTGAACGGCGTGAATGGAATGCATCACTCGAATAGTAGTACTCCACAACGTCCGTTGGAGGGCACGCCGCAATACATGACGCCGCAACATCTCTCGGCCAACCCTAATGGGACTGCAGCCTTGAAGCGACCGCACTCCGAATTAACACCGGATGAGGTTTCGTCGCTCGAGCGTCGTAGCAAGCGCTTGCGCAAGGATGTGCCGACGGTTGCAGGTAGCAACATGCACCATTCCCGCATGGGCATGAAGCAGTTGCAGGCGAATCGGGAACGGGGCCATTATAGCCCTGGAGAAGTGTGCGAAAATTGCCTCAAGCCTGATGAACGACACAAGCATCTCAGATGCGAAAGTTGTGGCGATGCGTATCACATGTACTGCCTCGAACCTCCGCTCAAGCAAGCCCCAGCGCACGAGTGGCATTGCCCGAGATGTCTGGTCGGGACGAATGAGTACGGCTTCGACGAAGGAGATGTGTATTCGCTTTCCGGATTCCAGAGAAAGGCCAACGAGTTCAAGATGCACCATTTTAACACTATTCCGCGACAGTTCAGCCCCTTCAATGAGCACAAGCATCACCTGGAAGAAGACGACATAGAGCGCGAGTTTTGGCGACTTGTTGAGGACATTTCTGACACGACCGAGGTGGAGTATGGCGCAGACATACATTCTACCACCCATGGAAGTGGATTCCCAACGATTGAGAAGCATCCACGCGATCCCTACTCTACAGATCCTTGGAATCTGAACATCATGCCGCTCGACAAGGAGTCGCTCTTCCGACACATCAAGTCTGACGTCTCAGGCATGACTGTTCCTTGGCTTTACGTCGGCATGATCTTCTCAACATTCTGCTGGCACAACGAGGACCACTATACCTACTCGGCTAATTACCAACATTTTGGCGAAACCAAGACATGGTATGGTATACCCGGAGAAGATTCGTATAAGTTCGAAGAAGCGATGAAGCAAGAAGTCCCTGAACTTTTTGAAACACAGCCTGATCTGCTTTTCCAGCTGGTCACTCTTGCAAGACCGGAAAAGCTCAGGCGAGCTGGCGTTCGTGTCTATGCAATAGACCAGCACGCGGGAGAATTTGTGATTACATTCCCACGTGCATATCACGCCGGATTCAACCAAGGATTCAACTTCAATGAAGCAGTCAACTTTGCGCCTCACGACTGGGAGCCTTTTGGCGAGGAGGGCGTTAGGAGGCTGCGAGATTACCGGAAACAGCCATGTTTCTCGCACGACGAGATGCTGCTCACAGCAGCCTCCCGCGACAACTCTATTCGGACATCAAAATGGCTGGCACCGGCATTGGAGCGCATGCGGGATGAGGAGTTGGCCACTCGCCAACATTTCTTGCGCGGGCCTGCGGCAGAGGCAGGGACGCAGCAAACAGAACCGTATCTTGGTCCCCGCTATGCCCAGGAGCCAGAGGCCATCGATGCTTCCGTTGAGGAAGAGGAGGTCATCTGCACATTCTGCAAAGCGTATTGTCACTTGTCACGCTACGTCTGCATGAAGACGAAGAAGGTGCTGTGTCTTCTCCATGCTGGGAGCTACGAGTGTTGTGATGCCTTGGAAACGGAACGACATTCTGGCCAGAACGGAGACCACGTTGTGCAGTACCGGATGACAGATGATGTACTCACATCAACAGTGCAGAAAGTCGTGGACAAGGCCAACATCCCTGAGCTGTGGGCTGCCAAGGTGGACAAAGAACTTGAGGATAGCCCCCGGCCTTCACTCAAGCACCTAAGGACGCTCCTCACTGAAGGTGATAAGATACAGTACGATCTTCCGCAATTGCCCGATTTGAGACGCTTCGTGGACAGATGCAATGAATGGGTCGAGGAAGCCACGAACTACATCACACGCAAGCAGACGAATCGTCGCAAAAGCGAGAAAGTATGGCGGAAAGGCACCAAGGCTGCTGAACAAGAAGAGCGCGACAAAGAGCTGCGCAAGATCTCCAACATTTACAACTTGCTGGAGAGTGCAGACAAGATCGGCTTCGACTGCCCAGAGATCGTCACCTTACGCGAGAGAGCTAGCAATATCGAAGAGTTCCAAAAGGATGCGCATGCTGCACTGGGCAACATCCTCGCCAAGAAGACAGAAGACTTTGAGGAACTGCTCGAGCGCGCCAAGGAATTCCATGTCGACATGCCCGAGATCGAAAGCATTGAAAAGGTGCTGAGGCGTCTGCGTTGGAACGATGCCGCGAAAGCGAAGAAGCCCAATCTCGAAACACAGCAGCAGACACAGACCTTGAAAGACATCGAGAAGTTCCTCGCTGAGGGTGCAGATGTCGGAGTACCGGACACGAATCCAGATATCATCTTCTTCAAGGAACACAAGGCCCAAGGTGAATTGTGGGAGCAAAAGGCCAAGGAGCTCATGGCGGTCGAGCAAGTTCACTACCAGCAGCTGGATGCACTCTCCCGGCAAGCCTCGACTTTACCAGTCACTCCAGAGACTCTTGCAGCAGTAGATGCGATTCTCAAGAAGCAGCGCGAAATTCAAGATAAGATAGCTTCTCTTGTTGACCGCAGCAAAGATCCGGACTTCAGAAAGCGACCGCACTACAATGAAATGAAAGAGGTCATGGATGCTCTTGATGAACTGCAGAGCAAGCCCCAAGGCACTATCGATCTCGAAAAAGAGTCGAAGAGGCACGAAGACTGGATGCGACGTGGCAAGAAGCTCTTTGGCAAAGCAAATGCCCCGTTGCACATTCTGCAACAGCATATGAACACTGTCGATCTGCGAAACCAGGCGTGCTTCGACATCGAGGACAAGCCACGAGGCCCTGTCGAACCATCTTCAAGGGCAGGATCTCCCGCAGAGGGCGAAGTTCCCGTGACGGAAGGAAGCACCTCAAGCAGAGATGTCTTCTGTATCTGCCGAAAGTCCGAGGCTGGCATGATGATTGAGTGCGAGATTTGCCATGAGTGGTATCACGGCAAGTGCCTCAAGATTGCCCGTGGCAAGGTGAAGGAGGATGACAAGTACACCTGCCCGATTTGCGACTGGCGTGTCAAAATTCCTCGCGATGCGGCCCGACCTAAATTGGAAGATCTGCAGTCCTGGTTCGACGAACTGGAAACACTTCCATTCCAACCCGTGGAAGAGAAGACCTTGTCGAACATCTGCGAGTACGGCCAGAACTTCCGAGATTTCATTCGCCCTTATGTCGAGCCAGCCATGGAGCCCACGCCTGAGGAAGTCAGCATTCTGCGGTTCTATCTGCGCAAAGTCGAGGGTGCGGATATCTTGCTCGCACACGAGACAAATTACCTGCGCCAGCAGCTTCACAGACTAGCGAAGGTCGCACCAGAGCCGCCGCCGATGACTGATGCCTCGCACTCAACACGCAAGCCACGACCAACTAAGCAACAAAAGCTGATGGCTCAACTCGGCATTACGAATCCCGACGATCTGCCAACGCAATACAAGATGAAGCCACACGTCGCGAAGCGCAAGCAGTCTGAATCGATGCCTGGCATGCCTCTACAGCCAGCAATGAACAGCACATCACCATCTGGCTCAATGACACCTGGACTGCCTGGATCTTCAAGCTCCGCGCAACCATATCCCACTGGGATGACACCAGTGCCTCCAGAGAAGGTCCGCAAGCATCTTACAGCACTCGCCATTCAGGTTCTGGGTACAACAGCCGGCCACCACATAGTCGACGAGTTCCTTGCGCAGGAACCGCACGCCAATCGCGACCGCCTGTTGAAAGTCAAGGCCGTTCTTGAATTGAACGATGCGAGTTTCACCACCGACTTGGACACTTTCAAAGCCAAGGTGAATTCGATGCCCATGCCAGCTCCGCATGCACCGGGGCCTGGCTATGAGACACCTCAAGAACGCCACCTGGCCTCTCTGAGAGCGCAGCAGCAAACGAGCCAGGGGCGAGAACAATCAGCGGCACCGAACACATCGAGCGAGGCGTACCAGCCCGCAACAACCCAGCCTCAACAGCGCCTTGGTTCGCCTGCAATGTTTCATGGTTATAGCAGCAGCGGTCCTTCGCCCCCACCTTCTGGGTTCGGGTCCCAGATGTTCGGGATGAACGATATGTTCAGTACGCCCACGTCTCAGTCAGCGGGCAACAACCACAATGGAAGTCGAACCAGTCCTGATTTCGGCAATCGTGGAGGGAACGGCATGATCCCAAGTGGTATGCCTGGTGCACTATTTGACTCGCCTAAGCAGCCAGATGTCTCTTCCGCCTCGACGACCGGATTCATGACCACGGCTGGGATAAATAGCCCTGGCTTTGGCGGCAGTCAGCAGAGTGCTGGAGCGAACATGGATAACGTCTTTGCTGACTTGGTGCATGAAACCGAGGATAGCTTTGCCGTACCAGGTCTTGAGAGTGCCACCGATGTTCGCGACAGCAAAGAGATTCCCACTCCTGCTGCGCCCGCTGCGCCAGAAGACGTCGACAACAAAGAAGCCGCCGCGCCGGTTGAGATGGCCGATCAGCCTGAAGAGCAGAAGCAAGAGGCATAGCATGCCTTTCCTGTCTACCCTCAGCAGCTGATGTACCATGACATAGACGACGCGATAGACCCGGCTCTTCTATATCAGACCTAGCGGTGTGGCCCCATGCAATATGGCCAGTCTTTTTCCTGACGCAACAGAAGAGCATACAAAACACCGCGCCACAGACATTATTTTCTTTCTAGGCATGACCTATGGGCACAACAGGTATCAGCAACATACAAAGCGCGCAGTGTACGACGAATGGAACCAGCGACTCGCACACAAAGCGGAAGTGCTTAATTCGGATGGCGTTGACCCCACAAGCAAAGACATTATTTCATTCTGGGGCGTTTGTGATTTTGTGGTGTTTGGGTCGAGTGGTGCTTTTTTCAGTGTGATATCCCCAAGCGTCAAGGCTTTCTGCATCATGGTGGTGTCACGGGAGGAGTTCAAAGAGAGGCCCTACTGCACTCTGTACTCTTAGTGGCATTTTGCTACGATCATTGGCGGGTAGCAAAACGTTGTCGCACATAGTTCGCAGTGGGCTAGGAGGGAGACTCAGTCAGTGGTCTGTGAAGTGGACCGTAGACAATTGAAATGAAGACAGTTGGTAATTGATCGCTCTGTGCCTGCTTCGTTCCAACCTCCGTTGTGAGATGCTTGTGCGGTCAACTGCTAACGTAGTTCCTGAGCCAAAGACAATGAGGTGTGACATGAGGCAGCTTTAGATCGGTGCATGGCGATCATCCGTAAAGGCTTTCAGGGTCTGTAACAGAGTCGTGCTTGTTCTCATTGATGACATGCCTCGTGGTGTATCATGCATTTCGGGATGCTTCTGCTGCTGGAGCTCAAGCGAAGCACTTATTGTACATACTCATCGTCAAGCTCTCGCTCCACTGTAGTGTGCATGCTCTATTGTCATATCCGTCATTCCACGCGCTTACTCCGGAGGAGCACCGCTTCCCTCACCTGCTGGTCGCGATGCCAGAACTTGCTCTGGCCCCTGAGCGCTGCTGGCTGCATCACCAGCCGCAGCGCCACCTTGTCGGGCACCTCCTCTCCGCCCAGCGTTCGCTTCAGCCGCAGCGTCCTTATCGCTGTTGATCTTCTCGACGATCTTCTCGATCTCTTCTGAAGGCAACATCTCTACTGTCTTGCCTGGTGCCATGATAGCGATCTCAATGTTCTTTGCTCCGGTTTGAACAACTTCGAGAAGTGATTTGATGGTCAGCTCGATGGTCTCGGCGCGAGTCATGTCGTCTTTGTGGTTGCGTTCGAGGAATTCGCGGACGGTTTTTGAGGAGCGGCCGATGGCGTTTGCTTTCCTGTGGTGATGCGTTAGTCACTCTGACGGGTACGGAGTTTAGAGCGAGTAAGACGCACCATGCACTGTAGATTCCAGATGGCTCTGTCTGGTATAGTCTGGCGTCCTTGCTGCCCGGGTCGAATCCAACAATGAGTGTGCTGATGCCAAACGGCCGCACACCTCCCGACTGCGTGTATCGCTGCTGCACACCGGCGACGTATTTCGTGATGTATTCGATGGTGACCGGATCCTCCACTGTCAGACGATGTGATTGCGCCTCCAATCGTGCTTTGTCGACCAGAATTCGTGCATCGGCGTTGAGACCAGCAAAGGCTAAGCAGACGTGGGTATCGACCATGGAGATCTTCGAAGGCGTGATGCGGGTATCTTGCAGCTTGAGGGCGGACTTCTTCTCACATCCCATGACGACGACTTGATCATCTTTGGCGGTGCCTTTGACTGCTACGGCGCATGTTCCACGCTTGACGGCTTCGAGGGCGTATTCGACCTGGAAGACGTGGCCATCGGGCGAGAACACGGACAGTGCGCGGTCGTAGCCGGATGCCATGTTGACGAGCTTATCCGGGCGGTTTCAGTAAGGGTTATGTGTTGAGATGGCGCAGATGATGACGATCAGGAAAGGCGGTTTGGTGGATTGTTTGATGCAGCAGTCGGAGCTCCAGGCACTGGCGGCGCGCGTCAAGCACGAAGCTCTGTCTCCATCGGGACGGCGCTCGCATTGCTCCGAAAGCTGCCCGAACAAGACGTCACGAAACATTGCCTCTCTTTTATTTGTTTCGCTGCCTTCCACTTGCACCTATCCTCACCTGCGGCTATACTGTCCCGCGACAATGTCTCCTGCAAATCGCTGTCTGCCCGCCTTGAGGCGCATCCGAATCGCGAACAAGGCTTTTCAGCAACCAGCACACCTCCGAGCTGTATACCAAGCGCCGTCATTCCGATGCTATGCGCAAGCTACCACAACCGCCTCCAATGCCGAACACAATCCTCCCGAGTCACGATCAGGTGTCAGCGATCCCAAGAAGATCAAGTATACCACCGATTCATACCCGAACATCAAACGAGACCCTCGCTTCAAGCAGATCGACGAAGGCGACGTCAGGTTTTTCAAAGACGTGCTAGGAGTAGACAATGCGATCATTGATGGCGTTACTCAGGACTCTACGAGCGATCTGGAAGCATTCAATGCGGACTGGATGAGAAAATATCGGGGTCAGACGAGATTGGTGCTGAAGCCAGGATCGACCGAGGAAGTCAGCAAGATTTTGAAATACTGCAACGATAACTTGATCGCTGTCAACCCACAAGGAGGCAACACTGGTCTCGTGGGAGGGTCTGTACCGGTCTTCGACGAGATCGTGATCAATTTGGCACGCATGAACAAGATCCGAGATTTTGACGATGTTTCTGGCATTCTCGTTGCTGATGCTGGTGTCGTACTGGAAGCTGCTGACAACCATCTTGCTGAGCGTGGGCACATTTTCCCTCTCGATCTCGGTGCCAAGGGAACTTGCCAGCTTGGAGGCAACGTTGCGACTAACGCTGGAGGTCTGCGATTACTACGATACGGCAGCTTGCACGGGAATGTACTTGGCTTGGAAGCAGTACTGCCAGATGGCACAATAGTCGATGATCTCGGAAAGCTTCGCAAGAACAACACTGGATATGACCTGAAACAGCTCTTCATTGGAGGCGAAGGCACCATTGGCATTGTTACGGCAGTTTCAATACTGACTCCGCAACGATCGCCGGCGGTGAACGTGGCATATTTCGGTTTGGAGTCATACGAAAAGGTGCAGGACGCTTTCAAAGAGGCCAAAAAGCATCTTCAGGAGATTCTATCTGCATTTGAATTCATGGACGGCAACTCACAGCAGATCTACACCCGCGCCTCTGGGGGCAAGCTACCTCTCGAAGGCGAATACCCCTTCTACTGTCTCATCGAAACTTCCGGATCCAACGCCGATCACGATCGCGAAAAGGTGGAGGCCTTCCTCGAGCACGTCATGGGTGAGGAAATTGTGGCAGATGGCATTCTCGCCGAGAATGAGACACAATCGCAAAACCTCTGGGCATGTCGAGAAGGTGTCAGCGAAGCTTCACAACACTGGGGAGGTGTCTACAAGTACGACTTGTCAATACCCCTGCCACAACTATACGACCTTGTAGCAGAAGCGAGGCAAAGATTCCAAGATAGTGGGCTTATGGATCCTGAGGATGACAGCAAGCCTGTGATCGATGTGATTGGGTACGGTCATATGGGCGATTCAAATCTGCACTTAAACGTATGTACGAGGAGATACGACAAAGAGGTCGAGAAGGTGCTGGAGCCATGGGTTTTTGAATGGATTCAACAACGAAATGGTAGCATTTCTGCCGAGCACGGGTTAGGACTCGCGAAGAAGGAGGCTATCGGGTACAGCCGGAGTGAAACGATGATCAAGCTGATGAAGCAAATAAAGCAGCTTTACGACCCGGTGAGTTATCTTGCAATTATATTTGGTCGAGCTTGTGAACTGACTGATTGTGCAGAATGGTATTATGAACCCGTACAAATACATATAGAGCAATACAGGCATGGTCGTACACTATATCTACATAATCTCCTGACCACAGGTATTCGCTCGCTCTTTCCAAATATCAAAGGGGTATCTTGCGCATAATACAACCAAGCAATTACAGTGAGACATTTCTGGCCTCAAAACTCCAATTCTTCAACCTCCATTCCACATTCAACACAAGCTTTCTTCGTCATGCCCGTTTCGGGATCTTCGACACTTCGCCCCCATTCATGCTCATGCTGTCCATTCCCTATCGTATCACCAAATTCTCCTCCGCCACCACTTCTCGCTTTCTTGTACGCTTCGACTCGTGTTCTCTTCTTGAGCTCATTCAATTTATTCCTGAACTTCTTCTCCTTGCGATCCTTCGTCTCTTTCGTCCTCCTTTCATACTCTGCGTCCAACCCCTCCGCACTACCCCACTTCTTCTCCGAGAAGGCGTATTGTTCGACCTGATATCGGAGGTACAGCATCATGTCGTTCCATGTACTTTTGTGCGGGTTGGGTTTCTTGATGTGCGGTAATAAGCTCTCATCTTTCAATTCTGGGTCCGTGAGGAGGTAATCTTCCTTCGCCTCTGTTTTCGTCAAGAGACTGTATTTCTCAGGATATTTGTCTTTGCATGTGTGGCAGATTTGTGTGTTGAGCATTTCGTCCCAGTTCCAATCGATCTCGAGACTGCCGCATTCTCTGCATTTCTTTGCGTTTTGGGCGTCAAGAGCTGACAGACCAGGTTCGTAGGGTCCGGCTTTTGTCATCTGCAGCTTACGCTGCACTTGTTTCTGCTCCCATTCTCGCAATGTCATATTCGCGGGCTTGCCGTCTGGATCAGGTGCATGCAATGCTTTGTTGTATGGATCATCGTCGGCCGTCATGAAACCACCTTTTGTGTCTGTCATCTTGCTGAAGTCGTATTCGACGTATTTTTGAAACTTCCTAGCAGCTCGGATGCCATCGTCTGGTGCAGCGGAGAGGCCGTTGTTGCTGTTCGGTACATTAATTCGTGCGTCGCGAGAGGTCGCTGGTATGTCTCGTGTGATCGCAGCGTGTGTCCGTTTCTGTCCTGCAAGAGATGTGGGAGCTGAAGGCCGGGTCGTTGTCTTCTTCTGTGCTTCCTGCTGTGTTCGAAGTGCTTTGGCTCGTAATCGAGACTCTTCCATACGACGAACTTGCTCTGGAGTTATGGGAGAGTGAGCCGAGGCCACAGGAGCCTTCCGCGGCGGTGTTCGTGGTCGCTCGGTGTCGGCCATGGTGGCTAGCAGCTGCGATTGCGATGTGCAGTCTGTATGGACAATGTACAAAGTAGATCAAATGAATGCCGCTCAGTGGCGATGATGCCTAGCTGACAAAGACGAAGCTAGGATTAAGCGGAACCCACTCCGGTCTTTGAAGATCGTGGCTCGTGCAAAGCACACCCAACTTAGGAGGTAGACTCCTTGTCGATGAAAGCGTTCTACCCGCCAGGCAATTTCTCAAGACGCGAACCTTCCTGCAGAATCTCGAAGCTCCGCGGAGGCATGAGAGCCCTTTGTTGCCCCACGTTCACGCCCTCTGTGGTCAGTTCTTGGCAGTGGCTTGTGAAGTCGCGACCTCATGTCGCGCTTCACGCGTCTCGCGTGCATCCTGTCGTCTTTCGACATCCACCACCCCGGACACAACGAAATGGCATCGCTGTCCGACTTTCACTCAATCTCAACGTAGTCCGCGCCCTCATCAGATGTATCGGTTTGAGTGTCGCCTGCTCAAAGCCAAGTCCAAGAGAGTTGCCCAGTCAAGCCCAGCAATGCCAGCGTGAGGATGACGATGTGCTCAATCAATGGCGACGAGCCTTCGACGGTTCCAGAAAGCTTTCCAACGCTAGACACGAACAAGCGCAACGCCGAAGCAGCAGACGTGGCACAGCAATGCATGCCGTGAACATCGGTTACAATGTGACAGAATAGTAGACAAGGAAGAACTCACACTTGTTCGGCAGAGCACTTGTAGGCCACCGATCTAGAGAACGGCTCCGATTCTCTTCAATCCGGATCACGAACCATGGGCTATCTCGGACCAAAGTGAGGAATACCAGGCATGTAGGCCATCATCGTTGGAATATTTCTGCTGTTGGCCGTATGACTGTAGATATGTGTCCAATTCCGGCGCACATTACGAATGAGACCACGTAGCCCTGGAGATCTGGTCACATTCGTAGGTAAACTGGTACACGGACTCCAAGCCTTTGGCGATCAGCATATCGCCTCTCACTGAATCACGCTTGCACTAAACCTTTGCCACTTGTATAACCATATCCAGCACATTGGTGCAAGCCGACTCCGCGCGCACGGTACGGAAAACTGGGAGGGATCACCATGCCCACGATCAGCATGCAAAGAACAGCTTGGGCATTGCTTGGACATGCTAACGCCGTTTGCGCTCGTCGATCCCGAGCTCAAGCGGCTAGATGCTCAGAACGGCACTATCATCAGCTTTTGCAAGCCTGGGGGTCGATGAACAACTCTAGCGGGAGCTCTCGGGGTGGGTGTGAGCCTCCCCTGTCGTCGAGTTGCAAATTCCCCAAGCGCTCGAACAGAACCGATGCCCGTCGTCGTACTAACTTGCGGCGAACATGCAAGCTAACTTGTCTAGTCGGTTTGGCCTTGTTGCTCTCCAACACTTCGCCAGATCGCCGCATGCATACGACACGCTGCAGTCGTGGTAGTGCTCCGCGGGCTACTATTGCAGCGTGGTGTGCATGTACGCCTCAACCTGCTATTCCTCACGCGTGCTCAAGGAATCCAAGGCTGCACAGCATTTGGCACACCATGCGCAATTCTTGTTGTGAGAGGAAACGCGTACTTGGCCCCTTTCTGCCAATGGCTCTGGTTCCAACTTGGCGGGCATCGATGACCAGCTTGAATGCGGTGTCGACGTTGTAGACTTGGATTTTGAGAAGAGGAGATCATATTGAGATCATGACGAACGGCATTATATAAGAGTTGGCTTCCAGCACCTCCTACCCAAAGAGCTCAGTACGAACGCTAGCAACTTCAGCTCCATCTACCAAGATCTCATCTGCCTATACGAGAGCCTCCGTCCTCTCTTTATCTGCACTCCACCATGAAGCTCTCCCTGCTGAGCGCTGCGCTCTTTGCAGTAAGCTCCTCTGCTCTCGCCGCCCCAGCAGAAGGAGTTGCCCTTCACAGCAGGCATACTGCTCGGCAGTGCTCCAGCAGATTGCGCGACTTCAACAAATGCAAGCGTGACGAGGCCGACGAGCTCAAAGACTTTCAGGAATGCCAGCAAGGTCGCTATCCACCAGACTGGAATGTCATGGCCATGCTAACATTTTTCTGCAGATGCCCAAAAGAAGAAGGCTCTCTTTGACGCATGCACCAGTCGCCCAGCTGGGGATAACGCTCAACTCCAGCGCGAATACGACCAATGCAAGCGCGAGGAGCGTGCTCTCGAAAGGGCTGAAGACCTCTGCGACGACCAGGAAGACCGCATCGAGCGTGAGCTGAGAAGCTGTCGTCGTGCCCGCAACCGAGCGTGTGTCGATCAGAAGACCCGCGAGCTCAATTCCAAGAAGTCTGAATGCCGTAGGGCTGAAGCCGCAGAGAAAGCCAAGGATGATGAATGTGATCGTCGGGAGGACGCATTGAAAGCGAGCCGCAAGAGTTGCGGTCAGCTTGAAAGGGACTGGCAAAAGGAGCTGCGAGAGTGCGAGGAAGACAGGATTGAGTGGGAGGAGGAGAAAGCAGATTGTGCCCGCAAGGAGGCTAGGTTGTGCAAATAGTCGTCCTTGGGCCGCCGTCGTTCAGTGCGTCGATGGAGGATGAGCTTTGTTTTGGTTGTTGCTCCAATAGCTCTCGTGGATTCCTGACTCTTATCTTAGGTCAGCTTAATGTTGCATTCAGCATCTGATCAAGGCACTCACAAGGAGCGACAAGAACAAAGACAATACAATTTCATGGTGGAACCTCGACCAGCTTCACTACATTATTGCAAGACTTGCCACACGACAGCAACCACAGCAGCAAACCCTGCAAGGACTGCCGCCCACCTCAGCAAGCCCCTTTGTATCTGCTCCTTAGCAAGCATCTCTATTGCCTTACCATCATTGATTCTCGGAAAACTCACACCTTTCGGTACTTCCATATCCAATGCAGCACACAACGGCCCCCATCCAGCTCTGATATCAACAAAGAACAACTTCTCCGCAGGCACTACTTTCCGTAAATGCTCAATGTGCCTGTCCCACACAGGTCTACCACGTAGTACTTCCTGCGGTTCCCCAGGTTTCAAATACAGTTCTCCATACCTGCCATCCGCTAAAAGTGTCAGGAATCGAGGAAAATACCGCCAACAGGGAATCCAGAACATGATTATCCCCAAAAAAGCTTGCAGAGTTGCTGCAGAGGTCTGATAGATCGATTTCGCCCAAGCGTCAGGATCGCGGACCGTACATATTACTTTCGCTTCTGGGTAGAGTTCCAGAAGCTCTGGGACGAATTGAGCGAGCGGCGTATCTGCTGTGGCAACATAGCCTGTCGTACGTTCTCGAATCTTCTTGAGCACGAAGTCTTTATCGGCAGGAGATTTGTAAGGTGTTCGGGCGAGGACTTCCATCCAGGTCTTGATGTGGGTTTCATCGTCTGAGATTACGCATTGGGTTCCGGCATGGTAGACTGGACCTTTGAGGAGAATCTCGAGAGCGGCGCAGAAGGAAGCGGTGCCGGTTCGTGAGAGGCCTATTTGATGCATCAGATATGCTGCTCGAAGGGGACCGAGGTGAGATGAATTACCTGCACCAATGACCTGCACTTTTGCGCCAGCTTGCGGTTTTGATGCTTCAGCACCCATCGTCACATATGATCACTTTTGTCTATATCGTGTTTGTCCTCCTCGATCGTCATCGATTGATTTAGTGGTAGACTAGTCAAGATTGAGGCTAACCTTGGTCACCGCCCCACTTGCATCCCACAACACCATGTCTATGATGTGAAAGTAAAAAACAACTTCGCTGGGGAAGAAGAGCTTGATCGTTGTTTAATTGACTACATTAAATTGCACACTCCAAGAAGCTCAGACGCGACATGGAGCCAGCTGCTATGCTTACAAGCCAAGATTTTTCAAGACGGTACCAGGGGCCGGGACTTTGAGGTCGATGAGATAGTCATATATTGCATCGCTCACTGCTCCTGGGAATGGTTCGCTCAGATGTCCAAACCCGTCCCTGCTCAACAAAACCGCGTTCGCGTCACCGAATTGACGCTGTACGTTTACGGCTGCGTCGTAGCGCGTCAGAGGGTCCTGGTATGCATTCACAATCAAAATGGGGGTAGTGAGCTTCGAGCTGCCATCTTTGAAAGCCGTGATCTCATGCGGTGGGTTGTTGGATGGTACGGGCCAGAAAGGGCAGAAGGTGAGACGTACCCACGAGCCGGTGTTACCTCGTGTATGTGGGAAGGACGATCTTGCGTATTCCACTCTCTTACTGATTGTGGCATAATCGGGTTTTGTCTGTTCCGAGATTGCATCGGCACAGATGATCGCAACGAACGAGTACGATTCCGACGAGTTTCCTTCGCGCCTTGGAGATTCTTGGAACCTGCCTGGCGTACCTCGAGATTCGAGCATAGTCAGATGGAATGCAGTTTCCTGCCAAGTAGGACCAACGTTTGGGAAGGCAATCAAGTTGGCTAGTTGTTCCGTGACCTTGTCACCATGAACTCTGTTGCCGCAATCAATCGAACTGCCATTGCATGGCTCGGGAGAAAGGAATTCGATCGGCTGCTCGTTAAGGCGATCGATGAGATTGTCGAACCATGCCGGCAGGTTGTCCACACCGCTCAACACACAGCTGCGTCCGGCCCCTTCGCACCATTCAAAAAATCCTTCTGCAACCATCTCATAGCCTGCACTTTCTTGCACCCAACTATCAAATGGGTCCAGCTCTGAGTGATCGAGAACGCCGTCCAGTACCATGGCACGGATATTTCCAGGGAATAGCTCCGCATATTGTGCACCCAGCTGTGTACCATAAGACGTGCCCAAGAAACTCATAGGCTCGCCACCAAGAGCGATACGAACCGCCTCGATATCCTTTGCGCTGCTTGCCGTATCGACGTATCGCAACCAGTCGCCCGTTTGGTTATAGCAGCTCTGGCCCATCGCTTCCAGCTGAGATTTGAGGCGATTAAACTCATCTTCCGTTTGAGGGAAGAATCTGGTCTCCTTTCGCCACACTTCCGGGTCACAAAGAACGGGACGGGAGTTTCCAGTCCCTCGTGGATCGATCGCAATGAAATCGAAATGGTCTGTGAGGGGGTTGTGGTCCCAGTTATTGTAGCTGTACGGTGCTTTGTCAGACTGCTGCAATTTTTTGCCTGGGCCGTCACCTGGGCCTCCAGGATTGAAAAAGAGGTTTCCAATTTTGGCATCCTGCTTTTTGGCAGCTATCTTGCTGATGAATAGATCAAAGTGCTCGCCATCAGGCTTGTTCCAATCCACCGGGAGGGACAGGTTGGCACAGAATAGAGGTATCTTCTCGTCGAAACAGGGCTGCCATTGCACGTTTTTTTCAAAGCCTGTCAGAGTTGGTGTGGTGGCAAAGACTTCAGGCAGCACACTCAGTGCCCATATCGAGAACAACATCTGTAGCTGGCGTGGAAGGAGTGAGTGGCTCCAATGGAGTAGAGCTACAGAAAATGGAAGCCTGACAGCGCATCAGCTGTTTCATACATGCCTGACATGCGGTATTGACGTTGTGCTAGGATTGCGAACTCAATGGAGAACATGAGTCCAGAGCGCGCGACATGTTTTCCGCGTGGCGCTCGTCTCAGAAAATCTTACCGACCGAGCGGCCGCTTCTCTTCATGCCCATGTCCTTGTCGTCCTGTATCGTCATTTTTGGAAAGTCTGTGTCCTGCAGTACCAGAATAGGTTTCGAGGGCTCGCTAGCAGCGCTGTAAGTTGTCTGAAGTGGCCCTTATGAGATTCGAAGGAAGTCAACCGCTGGTACAATTTCAAGGACAAAATGTACATGCGCGAATTCATATGCTGTTCATAGCACATTGGTTCTTCGCTCCGTGGCCAGAGATGCGAAGTTCAGAAAGACTGTTTGTGAGGAAAGTGTTGGATAGCGTAATCAAATATTGGCAACAATGCTGGACCCAGGAAAGCTTGAGCAGTGAAGCACCAGCATCTTGCTTCTTGGCGGATGGCCATTCTGCTCACAGCACACCTCCCCTTGGACTCCTCTCGAAAGCTCTCGCGGCCTTACTAGGGGGCCAGGCTTGATAATGCACACTAGAGGTAATGCAGAGAAGACGCAACGATCCGGAAGCACGTTGTCTGAGTTGCAGATGCCATCGAAACCACAGGATACTCATGGAAGCTCAATCCATGGTTAGGAAGCATCAGTCGTCCGCCTGCTCGGACGCAGAGACAGCAGGTTATGAAGACACAGAAGCTTTTCAGGCATCCGGAAGAAGTTTGCTGGCAAATGATCGGGTACCGAGCTGGTCGTGACACAAATGATCAACTTGCTTAGGCCTGTAGGAACGCCACCGTTTGGGAGTTGCTGTGTTTGCGGATGGTATCGCAGATACTCGTCGTGATCGTGAAGGCTTTTAAATGTGTGAGCGATATGTTGCGAGACCGGAGTAGCGTGTAAGATTTACCTTAGAATTTACCCCCGCTGAGCCGCTGATGATGAACTCTGATCTTCTGTGCCTCTTCGTCAGTGTGAAGCTATCGGCTGCACGATGCAAGCCAGAAAGCTCGATTTGTATGCACGTTTGCGCAAGCTTCTGTTCCTGCTGCAATGCATCAAGCTTTTTGAGTACGTACGGTGCGTGTGAGAGGCTCCTGCGCGTCCCAGCCACACTGGTTGACTGAATCCTCAGGGTATGAGAGCAAAAGCGGCGCACCAATGGCGTCGCGGGTATCATATCAGCATCTATCTCGTTTGTTCTGTTCTAGCTACTGTTCACGCTAGACTATTTGCGGAGCAATGTTATGCCTGCCACATCCGCTGCGGGCAGACACGCATAGAAAGTAGGTGATGCAGCAATGAGATGCTCATTTGCAGCAAATGGGGAAAGGCGTGAATGTGCGAGCTCCGAGTGTAAAACCTGGTGTTGAAAAGCGTCCAGGGTTGAATAGAAGCAATCAAGTACCGCGGAACAGGAACTGCATGTCCTCCGGCGTGAGCTTCTCCATGGCCACCTTGTCATTGTTGATGGTGCCGTTGATCATGTTGGCCTTCTTCTCTTGAAGCATGACAATTCGAGATTCCACGGAGTCCTCAATGCAGAGACGAGTGATGACACACGGGCGACGCTGCCCAATGCGATGGCAACGATCAGCAGACTGCCACTCTGCTGCGGGGTTCCACCAGCTAAGATACTGTCAGCAATGAGCACAAACACAGGGGCCAGGATGAACTTACGGGTCGACAATGAAGACTCTCGACGCCTCGACAAGGTTCAGAGCGACTCCTCCGGCCTTCAACGAAACGAGGAAGATCTCGCACTCTGGCGTATTCATGAAATGATCGATACTCCGCTGGCGCTGGATAGGCGTCATGGATCCATCGAGCATCACTGTGTTGAAGCCAGCACGGCGAAGGCGCCACTCGATGAGTTGCAGCATCGATGTGAACTGCGAGAAGACGATAGACTTGAGAGTCTGCTTCTTGGAGCGCAGCTTGTAAAGGTCATAGATCAACATCTCGATCTTCGTGGAAGACGTCCAGTCCTCCATTTTGATGCGGTTGATGATCGAAGACTTCTTGACCACGTCTTCGTCTTGCTCGATTTCGGGCTGATCGAAGTCGATCGAAAGCGGAATGTGACAGCGAGGACAATCAGCTTCGCCGTCATCCTGCTCGATCGACTGACAGTAAGACTTGACGCATGCGCGGCAGAAGTCGTGCTTGCACTGGGAGCGGATGGCCTCTTCAGCCACCTCGTCGCAGATGTTACAAACAAGAACATTCTGGCCTTCGTGGGCATTCTTCTTCAACAGAAGATCGGGGTGATTGGCGACTTGCCGCATCTGCATGATCAGACCGAAGATGTTGGCATAGTTGTTGAGCATCACACCCCGAGCAACGTATGTGTCGAAAGTACGAGCCGTATTGCTCATGATGCTGGACGAGAAGTCACGCTCAATCGGTCCGAAGAACTCATTGTGGATGATGACCTCCTTGGGCGGTAGTTCCATAGAGCTAGTGTGATCGCGTTTCATGCGACGAAGCATGATGCGGGCGGTGATAAGGTGCAGCTTGGCCATAGCCTCGGCACGGTCCTCTGCCTCTTCAGATTGCGTAAGTGGGTTGAGCAGTTCCTGGTTGAACACCGACACATGCTCCATTCCGGCATGCTTGCACTCCTTGCACATGTGGTCATCGTCCAGCTGCCAGTGGAGCATGGCACAAGGGCATTTCTTGCAGAAGTAATCCGCGAAAGGACGTACTTCGAGGAATCGGAGAAGCGAGAAGAATTCGCCAATGCGGTTCTGCACCGGAGTGCCTGATAGACACCACTTGTAAGTGCCTTTCAGAGCAAAGCACGCTTTCGCTACTCCTGTGGTGCGAGACTTGATACTGTGAGCCTCGTCGAGGATGAGCCGATGGTAGTGAATGGCATGGATGGGCGAATCCTCCTTGACGATGTCTTCACCCCGGGACCAGCCTTTGATCTCCTTGCGATGCAGCGACTCCAAGCTGTTGTAAGATATCAGGATGACATCGAACTCCTTGAGCTTCTTGACCGACATGTTCTTGACCTTGTTGTTCTGTCCGTGGTAGACTAGAACCTTGAGCTTCCCGTCTGTATACTCCTCGATCTCCGTCTTCCATTGCATCAGAGCGACAGGCGGCATGAGAACAAGAGTCGGTTCCTTCTGTGGATAGTCGGACATGATCAGTGACACGGCTTGGATCGTCTTGCCCATGCCCATCTCATCGCCGAGCAGTCCGCCCTTGTAGTGTGTCTTCTCCTGCTTGATCATCCAGTTGAGACCTTCAAGTTGGAATGGCTTGAGCTTGCGGTTGATACTATCGGGCTGAAGAGCCGCCTCTGGCTGAATGACAGGAATCTTCTCCAGGTCCGTCCACATGGTCTTGATGCCTGGGTGCGCTTTTTCCAATTTCTTACGTTCGCGCTCCTTTCTGCCCAGGCCGACCATTGATTCGAGGTCAGCAGCGATCTGAGCTGCTTGCTCTGCAGTGATTCTGCCATGTCGCCGAGCCGCTTTGGCAGTACGTCGTCCGCGACCTCTAGCCGCGCCACGTTTGACAAGAGCTGGCGCGGGACGGGCAACAGCAAGCGGAATGTCAGACTCAGTGTCACTAACACCAGTAGATTCGGCCGGCTCCGAGGAGTCAACGACAAAGTCTTCGCTGTCGACTTCACTCAGCTCGTCATCTTCGCTGTCTGGGATCTGCTTCTTCACAGTCTTGCTGATAGAGCTCTTGGCTTTGAAGCTGGCCTTTCGTATGGGAGTCTTCTTAGCACTGCGACTGGAGCTAGCTTCGGCCTTGACCGGCATCTTGGATACTGATGACGACGGGTTCTTGGATATCTTATTTCTCGTCGATGTCTTCATAGGCATCGAGTCGTCTGTGTCCAGCTCGCTGAGCATACTGACATCATCCTCAGAATCGTCTACCACCACGGCTCTAGCTTTCTTCTTCGCTGGCTGTTCGGCTCCGGCCTCAGCATATTCTTCTTCCTGCAGGCGGATTGCCAGTGTCAGATCGTCCTCATCTTCTGAGTCATTGATTGTAATGACATTGCCGAGCATCGATCTCTTGCGCTTGCTGGCATTGGAGGGACCGCCACGCACTGAGGTCGCCGGGGTGGTCGCCGGTGTTTCGTATTCGGCGGACGAGTCGCGCGAGAGTCCATCGGTCGACGAGAGTGAGGAATCGGTTGGGCTCTGGCGCTTCGTGGCAGGTTTCTTGTACGCAGAACGCTCCATCGCTGATATTTGCGGTAGGACGACGCCTCTGGCAACTCTTCGTGTTGGGCGAACCACTATCTCTTCGTCGCTGCTGTTGTCGCTTTCCCCTTGAGGTGGGGTTCCGACGCTCGAACGATCGATGGATGTGGCAACAAGGCCTCGGGTCGTGCGAGTTGTCCGCTTTGGTGTGCTCAGCGAGGCCACGGAGGCTGCTAGATTGTCAGCGCTTCCATTCGAACTGGATGTGCCTGAACGTGATGTGCAAGCGACCACTGTGGGCAGAGAGAATCGTACAACTCTGTCCGGTGGCGGACTGGCGTTTTGGTCTCGCCATTTGAGGTTAGATTGGGGAGGAAAGCAAAAAGAAAGGTGTCTCTGCTTTATGCTGTTTTGCCTTCTGAGAGACAGGTGGCAAAGGAATTGGGAGGGCTCTTTGAGCAAAGACAAAAGTGCTGGACAGTGGCATGAAGTTCGGAGTAAGATGGAGCACTCACATCTAACAGATCTTGGGTCGCGGTCCAAGCGCGTGTCCGAGGAGGCTTTCGAGAAGCTTTAGTGGTCGATTTATGCAGGGGACAATGCAAGATCGACAAGGCTGTGGCGAATGTGGAACGCGTTGTCCTGGCGCGTCGCGCCGTCTAGACCGACGAGCTTCGATTCGATATGCGCCGTTCTGTCCAGCTTGTCAGTGACTACGAACCGCCGTCGCGATGCAATGAGCAGTGCTTTAATCGAGTTGCGATGTTCGTCGGTTGTGGAACCCGAGCAAGGGTGCTGATGAACCCCGGGAGGGGTCGTCATGGGCCAGGCAGCAAAAGCCAATTGGACGCGTCGCCCTTCACGCGTAAAGTGCTGCTGCACGTGGCAACGTGCCATTCACTCAATCAGAGAAACGTGACGGCCCTCCTCACACGGCCATACCACGTGCTAGCATGTCTGCTTCATTCTGGAATACCTTCGACAAGGTTGGTCGTACTGTTGCTGAGTAGGGCTATGGTAACGACATGGTCTTGTTCGCCAACATTTTAGGCCGACCTGGACCACAAAGTTGTCATCTTAGCGAGTATATTGACCTATGCTTGAATAACAAGCTCGCTTTATTGACAGCTATGTATTTGACATAGGACATTCAGTGATTTTTACGGCACTCTCGCGACGAAGCAGGTCGCGGCTGCACATGCCCGTGAGTGTGCAAATTTACAAAAGGACACTGCATCGGCTACAAATCAACGTGAGACTTCACAAGACACGAAGATGTAGCCAGAGAAAATCTGCAGTTCCCCAGTCACATCTAGAACTCTCTTTCCTCTCGAAGCACGTCCCAAATTTTCCTTCCTTGTCAACGCTTCCCGGCCTATCTTGGCTGTTGGCGCAAGCGTCCTGAAGCCCAGTTCTCGTCTGTTGAAGTCATGGAATATTGGTGTCAAGGTGTCTGGTCATATTGAGAACGCCGCAAGTGAGTATTCTGACAGAGGGCTTGGAGCAAGCGGTGGACCTTCGCGACTCTGAACATCTTTCTTGGCTTGATAGGCGAACAACTCGCGTGCAGCAAACCATGTACATCCATTCAATGCGATCTTCCGCAATCTAACGTGAATGAGAAGGTCGCGACATGCTATGCATGTCATCATACTCTGGTGCTTCCGTAAAGAACTTGAAGAAGACAGTGAAAGCGGGAGGCGGCGCACCTCCGGGAAGCTTATTTGGCTAGTCCGCTTACAGACTTGATGGTGGACGCAACACCAAGCGACAAGCTCAGCATTACACAAACCACTACTGGCGACAACCATCAACGCGCGACAACCACCATCGCCCCGTCCTGGTCGTCCGCGATACTCGCATGAGCGCCCTCTGAACAACCGAAAGCGGCCCCCGCCGGGCCCGCCGTGCGCACCACAGCTTCAAACCACTCCTTCGTCATATTCCCTTATGTTGACAATCACACAACCGCACGTCGACTTCTCCCCGGTTCAGCTCGCGCTGACTTCGCATTCCTGCCATGCCTCCTGCGAGTGGCAAGCGCAAACGACCCGAGCGGCAGCACTCCGATGATTCGTCGCATGCATCACCATTTCGTCCTGAGAAATCGCGAATGGCATCACGAGGAGCCTCGAGAAGAAGCAGCGCTGTCATGGAGGATGGTATCGAAGAGTCGAACACATCGACATCACCCATGCCCGCGAACGGGAGCACGCAAGATGCCTCGCGCCTAGAAACGTTAGTCACAAGTACATTCCCGAAGTCGACCGGCTGGCGCGCGGCGAGAAAAGACATACAAGCTGACCAGGACGCTCCACTCTAGGCCAGCCGAGAATGGCGATACACCAGTACCCGGGATTACTCCTAGCGCCAACGGGCAGGCAACTGGGGACGATGTGGCCGTGGACTCGCGATCGCCTTTTGAATATTCTTTCCTTGGAGACGAGACCGTGGTAGCATGGGCGGAATCCGGCAGTCAGGCAACGCTGGACATGGCCTCATCTTTAGGAGAACTGGAGACGAGCGATCTCGTTCAGGAGCTTATTCGGTCGGCATTGGACGGTAGATTGACTGGACAGCAAGCTGGTCATTTCGTCCGGGACCTCATCGCAGCGAGGGCTCAAGACGGAAGCGTTGATGTCGAATTTCTATTCCTCAACAACTTATCCTTTCTCTTCGAAGCCAGTCATCGTGGCAATGCCCTGAAGGCCCTCCTGGCCGCTACCGGCATCGATCAACAAACCATGCGACTGGAACTCGATATACCATTGCTCCAAGAGCTAGGCCTCGTGCGCAGCACTTTCGACAAGATGAAGACACGGAAGACCACCAACATGCTCTATCGCCAGGCAAACTTCAACCTGTTGCGAGAGGAGAGCGAAGGGTACGCGAAGCTGATCACAGAATATTTTAACACAGCGCAACAGGCTTTCGCCAAACGCGACGGGGATCCTTACATCGCCGAAGATGCGGTCCAACGGGTCCAAGCGCTAGTAGGAGCCTTCGACCTCGATGTCGGCCGTGTCTTAGACATCACTCTCGACGTCAGTGCGGACCTACTTGTAAAAGCGTACCCTTTCTTCATGAAGTTCTACCGTGCGAGTTCGTGGTGGCCCAGCAACGAGACCGTCGACAACGTCCAATGGGAAGATCAAGGCTTCAATTCGCTACCGACGTGGTGTCTGCCAGGATCTGGAAGATCTGCATTCACCGAGACTGAGCGAGAGCAACTGGCAGCGCTAAGGCAGAAACGAGACGTTCAGTTCTGGGAGTATGTGCGCCAAACTCGCACCAAGGCTTTTTTTGAGCTTGGTGCAAGAAAGATTGTCGATTTCGATACAGTCCGCCCGCTTCTTGAACAAGAAGCTGCACCGGAGCTCGATGCCAGGGGCAAGGAATCGAACCCAAACAAACGGCAACGTGTGAACGAAGATCGCAAATACATGCGAGAAACTGGATACCTCCCACCACCCGGCAATTTCGAGGCGGCTCAGCTCCTCGGTTTCAAGCTGCGATTTTATGCTTCTGATGCACGCAATCCAGATGACACACTACCAGACAATCTGATCTATCTTACGGCGCTTCTCATCAAAATTGGATTCGTGTCTTTACGCGACCTCTACCCTCACCTGCATCCGAGTGATGATGATATGCTAGCAGAGCGGAAACGACTCGAGAAAGAGAAGGCAGAAAAAGAGGCAAAAGATCGTCCCGGAGGTGGGATGAATGCTCTTCTGGCGGCTGGTGCCTTGCCAGACGAAGGGCCGGTCTCGAAGAATCCTCGCCTCGAACTCAACAAGAGCGGCGGCGCAACGCCGTCACAAGAGAAGAAAGACGACAACAAGCCTGAGCTGCCTAGCCCTACAAACCAGAAGATTTTCCTGCTCAAGGCTCTTCTGCTTATTGGGGCACTCCCTGAAGCTCTTTACATCCTCGGCCGTTTTCCCTGGTTGACGGAAGTGGACACCTCTCTCCCCCCGTTCTTGTTCCGCATAGTACGGCACATGTTGAGCAAAATGACCGAGCTCACGAAACCGACTCTGGACACGAATCCTATCAGACAGACACGTGACCGTCTCATCAATACCACATCGCAAGCGGATGGCCGACTACCAGTGGCTTCTTGGTCAGTCAAAAAGCCAATACGGTGGCTGCACAACGATGTCTTCAGCGAGTCCGGTGAAGAGTACAGGCACTACTACAGCGACTGGAGCGACAATGTACCAATCTGTCAGACGCCAGAAGATGTCTTCCTATTGTGCGACACATTCATCGGCCTCCTCGGACCAAAAATCGGACAAGATACGCAGATCTATGGCACACTTCTCCGTCTTGTTGAACAGAGCTTGGCGAACGATTCCTCAGCTCCGAACCGTGCGCGCTGTCTATCGTTGATGCGTCGCCTGCTCCTACCAGCGTTGAGCTGTGGCACACACAATCCGCAGCACAGCCAGCAGGTCTATGACCTTCTCAAGACATATTCCTTATCGACCCGCTACAACGTCTATGCGGAGTGGTTTCAGGGCGCCACTTCGAGACAGCCCGACGTGCGTGTCGCTTTTGCACGCAACAAGGCAGAGGTTCGGGACGTCCTCCGTCGGGTATCCAACGATACTGTCAGGAAGCAAGGCCGAGCCCTAGGCAAAGTGTCTTTGGCAGCTCCGGGCATCGTTGTGACTGAGATGATCAGTCAACTCGAAGTCTACTCCAACATGATTCCAAGTCTGGTTGAGTGCACCCGATATTTCTCGCCCATGACTTTCGAGGTGCTCACTTGGGCGCTTATCAACTCGCTCAGTGGCAATGGTCGAAGCCGTATGCAAGGCGATGGGATGCTGACCAGTCCTTGGCTTCAAGCATCGTCACGTTTTGTTGCCAATCTTTTCACCAAGTACACCTATCTCAACCCTACGCCAATACTGCAGTATTTGGCATCGAGATTGCGTGTTGGGGAAACGACCGACCTGGAGATGCTCGAACAAATATTGATTGAGATGGCTGGCATTCGTGCTGACGTGGAGTTCAACGACGCCCAAGTTGTGGCAATGGCAGGTGGTGTGTCGTTGCAGAGTTACATTCTCGAGCAGCTCTCCGACAAGAGGCACACGAAAGAAAAGGAGAAGCCATCAAGACGTCTCATCCAGTGTCTCAACAACTCTGGTCTGGTCGGCCAGCTCTTGATTGCCATGGCACAAGATCGCAAGTTGTACGGGCACGGGGATGAGCTCCACTATGCGCCTCTCAAAGTGATCACGAACAACCTGGACAAGATCTCTGCCGTTTTTGCTCAATATCTTGAGACTTTGAAGTGGCACCTTAAACCACAGGAGCTGGAAGCAGCGTTACCGGAAGTTGGGGCACTCGTGCGAGACTTTGGTATCGATCCCGACGTGGCGCTCGTGATGCGGCGTGTGGCTATTCGCAGCCGTATGAATGAACACGACACGGCTAAGAAGCAGGACAGCGACAAAAAGGAGAAGACGGAAGACTCCACAGCTGACAAGCACGGTGATGTCGTAATGAACGACGACAGCACTGGTGGCACCCTGGATGGAGACAATGCTCACCATGCGGATCCACAGTCCTCTACAGCCGATGACAGCTCCGAGCAATCGGCCCCCAGCCCCTGGCATCCTGTGCTCGCGGCAGTCATACAGCAACTCACCGAGGCGCTTCCAGATCTCGCGACTCGAGTCAGCGTTCCATTCTACGTTACCTTCTGGACCCTTACACATCAAGACATTCTCGTGCCAACCGACAGCTACCAGAAGGAGACGAACCGCATTGAACAGGAGATCAAGCAGATCAATGCTGATCGCAGTGATGTCACCAGCATCGTGGCTAAGGAACGTGATGCTCGAAAGAGGACTCTGCAAAAATGGTTTGACAGTCTCAAGTCAGAGCCAATGCAACACATGGCTTCATACATGGCCGTACGTAATCGAATCAGTGGCAGCAAAATTGGCAATAAGGTGATCCCGGGCGAGAACGCGTACTGGTTTCCAAAATCAACGGCCACGGATCAGCAGCAGATCAAAGCTGAGAATGATGGCAAACATCAAGCTTTATTGCAGGAATGCTTCCTTCCTCGAGCGATGATGTCCGCCGTTGACTCGCACTACGCTTTCGAGATGCTGAAGCTGATGCATACAAACGGCACTCCGGGGTTCAGCTTGATGCATCTTCTCATTAATCTTTTCAAGAAGAAGCAACTCACTTCTCTGATTTTTGAGGCTACGCAGAATGAAGCTCAGCACCTTGCACGCTTTTTGCTGGAGATTTTGAAGCTTCTGCACCGCTGGCATTCGGACAAGTCAATGTATGAAAAGGAGGCTCTGGGACTTAAGAAGAAGCTGCCTGGCTTCGTGCGCCAGTTCGAGGAGAACGGCGAGCCGAAGCTGGTAATGGACTGGGAGTTGTTCCGCAAGATGCTCTTCAACTTTCACTCCGCACTCAATGGGGCACTTCAGACCTGCTTCGAATCTGGAGAGTACATGCACATCCGGAACGGTATGACGGTTCTCAAGGGCATTCATCAATTCTTCCCGGCCCTCAAATTCATGGGTAAGAACATGATGGAACAGGTCGAGAGGCTGTCCAAGGAGGAATCACGGAGCGACTTGAAGCTGTCTGCTATGTCATTGCGTGGACCCCTCCTGGGCAGGGAGAAGCAGTGGGTCCTGCCGCAAGCCTTCAGGCTGGGCGAAGTCTCGAAAGAGGGCCGCAAGTCGTCGTCCTCTCGGCCGGAGACACCTCAATCAGCTTCCAACAAGCTCAGTGCAACTGCTCCTGACTTCAAGCCATCGACCACCAATGGCGCGCCAAGGAAGGAGTCGGCTGTGGAAGACGGTGAGATCGAGGACGAGAAGATTGCTGCGGCCAAAGCAGCGAATATCGCTTCTATTGCTGTCAAGGAGCCTACTGAGAAGCAGTCCGGCAGCAAAGAAGTGCCCAAATCGAAGGAGTCGAGATCGTCCCGGCCAACGGCCGCACGCGATGCACCTCGCAGTGAGTCAAAGCCATCGACGCCGGTACCATCACAGTCGAGGACCGCCTTGCCGCCGTCGCTTCCGCACCGTCCCGACTCAAGAGATGCTTCGACCCGGACGGAAAGCTCAAGACCACCGCGAGATCTGCCCCAAAGACCCGAAGAATCAGCGTACAGTCGGTCACACTCCGGTCAGCCTAACAATCGAAATGTTAGTCGTTACGGTGATCGTCAAGACGATCATTACAATAGGGTTGATAGAGGAGGTGAGGCACGCCCTGCTTCTCGAGATCAGTCACCAAGTCACCGCACAGCGACGGGCAGAACAACGCCGATGGGTGCCCGAGGATCTTATCGCGATGAACGTCCGTACGAGCGTGGACCCTCAGATGGTCGTTATGCTCGTGACGAACAGCATGTGTCGCGCAGAGAGCCGAGTGCTCACCATAGCAGAGACGCACCTGATCCACGAGAGCGGGTGGGCTCCTCAAATCGCCCTTCGGAAGGCGGCATGCACCCTGACCGGATGGGACATCTGTCCTCAGTCGCCGTCACTCCGGAAACACATCGCACGCCAGCGATTACGTCCAGTTCTGCCCCTGCACAGCAACAGGAGCAAGTGCCAGTCAATCCTGCCCGCTTGGCACTTATCAATCAGGACTCTTCGGCAACTGCGAGTCCACGATCAGGTAGAGATCGACCACATGCGGATCATGACCAACGCCGCGACCGAGGCGGGCGACCAGACGAGCATGGTGGCGCTACAAGCTTTCCGCCACGATCTGACAGTCGCTCCAATGCGCGCCATAACGACAGTCCTCGCGATGCTCAGAGCAGGTCCGAGCCTCAGCAAGATCTGGCTCCGCGCGGTCCTAGGTCCCGCGGGGGCCGACTGCAAGAAATGCCACCACCCTCCCAGGAATCGACCTATGGCCGTTTGAACGCCCCAGCTGATCCGCCTTCGGGCCCTAAGAATGGCCCGGCAGGTAGAAGCGGACGTAACTTCACGACTCCACAAGCGAGCCCAGCATCTGCGCAATCACCTACGATGGGCAGAGCACCCGATCAACCTGCCCCTCGGGGGCCATCTCGGCAGCCGAGTGGCTCTATACAACAGATGGAACGCGGGCCCGCGCCTAATTCTGCCCCGAGCACCCCTGCAACTGAGAGCGGACCTCCAGTTCACCCCAGTAGGCTTGCGCACCTTGGACAACAGCCTTCGCCTATCCAGACTAATTTTGCACCCAACGGGCCCCGCAGCGGAGGTTTGAACTCTCCGGCAGCAGCACCTCCATCAGCACCTCGTGGACCAGGGCGCAATGGGCCTTCATCCAGCACGCCAACAGGACCTTCCCCTTCCAATACTCTACCACCTTCAGGTCCCGCAACAGCTGCGGAGAGGCAGCAGAGGAATCGCCAACGCGATCGCATCAATGCTACGCTGCAGGATAATGGCACGCAACCGGGTCAAGGTGTGCAATTCCGAGGTGCATCCTCCAGACAATCGAGCATATCCGGCGGTCCTGCGATTGCCTCGTCTATGGCGCCTCCTGTTGCCCCGTCCTCGGATCTCTTCCAGGGTCGACAGGATCGTGCAGAAGATCGTGGTCACCGACATCGCGACGATACACGACAGTCGAACAGTCGTCATCCCAGCCGTGAGCGATCGCACAATGAGTCGACATTCGGTCCAGGCCATGCTCCTCCACCACCAGCTAACCCAGCCGATGAGGGACGCAGCAGGCGAGATGGACCACGGGATTCGCGCCATCCGCGTGAAGATCGACCTCGCGAGGCGCCGCGAACCGACCAGAGAGGTCCGGAGCGTCAGGGACCTCGTGCAGATGAAGGTCATACACGTCGTGGACCACCCTATCCGTCTGGCTCGTTTGGCGGTCCTCCATCAGCACAATACCAGAATGATCCCCGACAAGGCGGAGGTGGCCGCATGGCACCGTCTGGACCTCAAGCCGACATGCGAGGTGGGCCACCACGACGTGAAGACGAGCGGAGGGACCCGAGCGGCAGAACGATGGGACGTGAAGACAATGGGCCGCCAGGGAGCTTAGATGTTCGAAAGCGTCGACATGAGGATCCTCAACAAGGATTCGACCCGTCAAAGAGAAGAAGAAGAAGCGGAAGACCATAGCGTGTTAAGCCGTAGAAGGCACACTTTTTGTCTAGACGTTTCAGCAGCATGAGCGAGCGGTCTGAGCATGGGGAACTTGTAAATTGGAAATTATACTTGTAACATTGAATCGAAAGATACCCAGCGTTGTAGCCTTTCTGCAGTCTCGACTAGCTATTCTATCAGACAGTCGAACTAGCATTTGTCTTGGCGCGGCTCTCGCTTTCGTTTGACCACAGTCGCAAGTTGGACCGTGCTGAAGCTGGAAGCTCGTCACCACGTGCGTCATTCGCTGGCCGGAGCTCCTCCTTCCTGCACGCCAAACCACCCAATTGAAGCCTGTCAGGAACGGCCGCGGTAAGTGAATACATGACGAGACATTGAACTACCTTACAACTGTCGCACGCGTCTTCTCTGAACACCACAACACATCATCTCCTTCGGCCCCTCCATTTCCTCCCAACACCTTTGCACGGCGCGACCAACGCGACCAACGCGACAATGGCTTTCCGCTTCACACCGGGCCTCTTCAACCACTCCCTCCGCACACCCCTCCTCTTCGGCAGCGCAGCAGCCTTTGGCGCAGGACTCTGTTTCGCACAACATTCGAAATTCCTATACAGGAGACCTCTCCTTCTCGATTCGAGCCCTGCGGCCATAAGTCCCAAAGACTGGTCTTTCAATCAATACCAAACCGACGCGCAAGTCCCCGTGGTCAAGGATGGGAGATTTAATGTTAGGAGTGTGAGACAATTGAGTAGTGGGAGTATAATTGGTACGTCGACATACATACATACAAACCCACTTGTCATCACGTCATGAAATGCTTGAGCATCGAGTGCTGATATGATTGATTTTTATCTAGGTCTCGTAGCCGGCCTCGCAGTCTCCACATTCTCCAAATCCCTCGTCCTCATCATCGGTCTTATGATTGCAGGCGTTCAAACAGCAGAAAGTTATGGAATTCATCTCATACCGTATAAGACGATTGGAAAATATGTGAAAGGTGTGGATGTGAGGAGTGCGGTGCAGGATAATGTTGCGTTTAAGATTAGTTTTGGGTTGATGTTTGCTTTGAGTGCTTTTGCGGAGTTGCCGCAGTGATGAGTAATGGGGAAAGGGGGGAGGGGGAGACGGGATGGGGGGGAAATGTACAAGGAGTGGGATGGACAACGTGAACTTCTGGGACAGGGCAGGATGGAGAGGAGAACGTGTAAGATGCCGTCGTTGGGCAGATTTGCAGAGGAAGCATTGCCACACGGCAGCCGAGCTCTCTGGATATGGCAAATCCTACTCATGAACTGGTGGTACTGAGAGATAAGAAACAGTCTCTGCGATGTACCAGAATGAAAGACACAGCGATATGCTTCGGTTGCCACACTGTGCACCGAATTTCTGGCCGACCCGAAAGACATTATTGTAGATCCAAAGCTCGTCACTTCTGCTTACTTGTGCTCAACTGTAAATCGCAGACCACTAGATGATCTCTTGGGCAGAAGCGCCCAGTCCAGGGCCAATATTGCAGTTCACATTATTGCACGATATAACTGAGAACGAGCGAAGCGAGATGCAAGTCAAAAGATTCACCATTCTATTCCCAATTCACCTCAATCAACTAATCCTCTCATATCAAACTCACGTGGTCCTTCAATAGGCCATCGTGCTTGGGTATCATCTACCTGTACATAAAAATGTTAATAGAAAACCTGCAAAACCCTCCGCCCACCAACACCACGCTCTAACGCAACAACAATGATCAAAAAACAGATCCTTATGACAAATTACGCCCATAAACCATACCCACAAATTCTTCAAAAACAAAAAGTTCTTCACATATCCTCCAACTGTTTCAAAGTCTCCTTCGCAAGCGAATCATTCGCCTTGCTAGACAGCGTCATCCAATGATGAGCAACACACATAATAAGTGGGTCCAGACGATGAGGGTCTTGGTTCTTTTTCCATCGGGCTTCGAGTTCTTCTTTGAAGACATCTTTTGGGCGCGTAAATGGTGCGATGATACGGTCCATGAGTTCAGGGTGAGTGAGGTATAGTGTTCCCAGTTCACGCTGTGCGACGATGTGGCCTTCTTTGGCTGTGATTTGCAAGAGGTGTGCGGCATCTGCCATAGTATAGCGAGCGACGTCTTCGGCCGGTGGGCTCGGTGCCGCGAACGTAGCGGAGTCGCGCTCTTGCTGTGCGATGGAGGAGCTGCGTCCGTGACCACGATTGTTGGAGTGGTAGGCAATGATGCTGTCTGCTGTCTCGACCATGATCGTTCGCACCTCGGTCTTGAGACGCGTGATAGCAACGGCAGCGTTCGCGAAAGCCTTGCCTTCTGGCGTGTTGTGCAGAACGGCAGCAGGCAGTAACGAAGCTATGCTTTGCATGTCCCTGAAGATGGTCTTGGGACGCAAAGAGCTCTTGGCGAATAGATCACGGAAGCCGGCGATACTCGTCTCAATCATATCGTCGGCGCCCGTGTGCAGCTTCAGGTCTTGTACGCCCTTCACGAACGACGCCGCAGGTGACATGTTGCTGCGCTGTTCCTTCATGTAAGGGCCCAGTAGGCGATCGATATCGTAGAGGCATTTCAGCTTTGTCGTAGGGTTACTACTGGCGACAAACTTCAGCATCAAATTCTCGAAAGCATTGTCGAAATCGAAGCGCATCATAGTCGGCTTTGCTGGAATTTCCGAGTCTGCTGTCGGTGTCTGCGAGCCTGCACTTGAGTGCCAGGTTTGGATGCTCCGGAAATATCTCTCAGCAAGCTCGAGGCCCAATCCAGTCCAAAACGCGTGATCAGTCTCACTGCCATCATTGAACAGTGTCGAGGTCAAGTCGCTAAGCATGAGACCAGTCACACGTTGTCGAAGCTTCTCGAGAGCCTGCGAATCGGCGGACAGGCTGTTGCTAGGCTCAGGAGTTGGAGCGACATCGGGAGCCCACTGCGTCTGAGAAGATGCGACACTAGTGGCACTAGATGGCGAATCAACTTCTGACATGGCCGGAGACCAGAATGGCACAGACGACCGATTCGTCAGAGTCGGACTTCGGGCATCCAAGTAGTCACGCGAGCTGGAGTTCGACAACGTGTGGGACGTGTTCGAAAGGCAATCATTGCTTCGAAGCTGTGAACTCAACGAGAGATAGTCCGAGGAGAGAGTGTTCCCGTACAAGTTTGGCAGGAAGTGCGATCTTCTTGGGGGCGAATCTCGCGTTCGCAGTGAGGTGTCGCGAGCGAACAACGTGTTTGACCACAGTAGGGAGTTGTCGGAGGGCGAGTTGTTGCTTACAAGGTCAACACACTTGCGGATCTCGAGAAATAGCTTATGCAAACGCTCTTCACCGCGGCAAAGGTTGTCGATATTCTCGCGCTGCATCCACTGCAAGGTGGCCCGTGCCTGGTCGTCACTCAGCTTGTTAGGCCCGCAGTATTCCGATCGAGCGGATAGGATGTCCAAGATCTGAGCTTCCGACTTGATGTGCAGACTGCCGATGGAGTATCTGGACGTCGGCCAGTGTCGCAAAGGCTGGGACGTCTTCGTCTTGGGCGTCTTGCTAGGCTTTCCCATTATTCGCAAGGCACTCGCTACAAGACGGGCTTCTTCGTAGGCAGCCGAAGTGCGAACATCCGCGACGTACCACATCTTGTCGCGCAGTGCCTCATTCTGTTGAATGATTGGCTTCAGATACATGCTGTGCATGGACGAGCCTGGCTGTAGGGTGGCCACCCAGCGTTCGCAAACCGTCTCAAGTTCAGCCCATTCGCTGATCGAGCGTTGCGCGCTGCCCTGCAGGGCGTGTAAGATGCGTTGTAGCACGACCGCACTGTCGCCAGCGAGAATAGCGGCATGCACGTCGTGCAAGCGTTGAAACCATCGCTGTGCTTCCGCGTAGTCTCCGGCGGTCTGACAATCCCGTACTGCGTTTTCAAACAGACGCTCAAGCTTTGTCCATGTTTGCGAGGAATACGTTGCACCATTCTCCAGTGGCTCGGAGGAATCAAGGTGGCCGTACAAGTGCAGCAATGGCTTCAGCTGATGAGCGACTTCTCGATGTTGATCGCCAAGAGAATCAAGAAGCGTCACGGATTGGTTTGTCGACAGGAAGTAATTGCGCTGTGCAAGCCGGATCTCGGAGCACTTCTCACGCATGCTGCACAGTGACTGGGATCTGGTCTCGACAGCCACGACGTCCCAAGATTCCTTAATGGCCCCGGTCCTGCGAGTGGCCAGATCTTCGAGCTCGATGCAGGCATCTTTCACCTGAATCTCGTTTGGATCATCGTCTACCAATGAAACGTCACTGACATTCGCATTCGCGGTCTCGCCGTACTTTAGGAATGGATTGAAGGGATCAGCGGTATATTGGTCAGGTGTCCTCGTGTTACGGAACAATGAGAAACCAGACACTGAAGATGCTGAAGACTGCAGGCCAGACTTGGAAATGTCGCTATCGGAGGAAATGGAGATTGGTCTCCGCCGCGGATATAGGGCCGAGAGAATGGTTGTGACATCTCGTAGCGATAGAACAAGAAATGGTGACGGTTCAGGAACTGGCTGAGCCTTGCGGATAGAAGGACGAGACGGTGGACCAGAGATCCGGGCCATAATAGAGTTGACGCGGTTTGCGGTCTCCGGCATGATCGGATTGCCATGCTTGAAGTAGTATGCAACATCAAAGACTGCTTTCTGTGCTCTAACAGCGATTTCTCGAAGTATGCGTTGGCGAGATAGATCAGATGTGTAATGATCGGTCGTCATCATATGAGCCTGCCATGAGTTGTTAGTGAACTTTCCCTGTCTATCGAAAAGTGTGAGTCTGATGTTACCTCTGGCAGATTGATTACGTCCATGATGAATGAGTTGAAGAGCCATCTAGTCAGGATAAACGATGGAAAACCACGCTGCTGTGGGGAGTCTCGAAGTTTCTGGGAGACAGCTTGGCAGAAAGAAAGAGCACCTGGCGGAATCACACTCGGCGAGTGCTGGTCACCAAAGAGCGCAAGGAGGGAATCCGTGGCCTCGGCGTAAAAAGCTTCAATGCGAGCCTCGTCTTGGGCAGAGACATCTGGCCGGCCTTCAACGCGGGCGCGAAAGGTCTGCTTAGTCGGCTGTTCCAAAACAAATGCACCACGCTGGAGAGTCTGAAGCATCCACGTCTCGAGCCGGTCCTTTCCCAGCCATGGCTCGAAGTTGGACCAGATATCCAAGAGTGCTGGAACAAGTCTCTCACTGCCGGGTTTCTGTTCTGTAATGACCTTGGCGCATACTGTGGCCCATACCTCTGTTGTCCGTCTGCGATCCGCCTGGTCGTCAAGCAGTGGCAATCCGGGGCCGAAAATTAGTGCCTCCAGCGGACTTCCATATGCGTAGGCGTTGAGCACATCCACCTGGGCGTCCACGGCGAATCCTAGTGGCCTGGAGTTCCGCGAAGTCCGGGTTGAGGATGCAAAGACGGAGTCGCTAGATCTCGAAACAACGCGCTCAGGAAGTAGCGCGTTGAGCTCTTTCGGCGTTAGTGCCGATATGCGTTCTGCTAGAAAATGACCATCATATCTTAGCTTCGCTAAAAGGTCAAGCACTACGTTCCGAGAGGCGCTGGAGATGTCGTTGAGGAACGACTCAAATGGCTTGGCTGCCACCGGACTCTGGTTCGCTCCTGGGACGGGTGGATGTGAAGTTTTGGCCGCATCCTCACAAACATGCTGGAAGGCGTGCAATAAATTCGCAAAGCTGGATTTGTCCTCGGCCCTGATACACTCGGCGAGTGTTCGCTGCACTGAATGGGCGGTTAGACGGAGCCTGGCAGCTTTGGCAGTTGCAATCTGGAGTCTGTGCAGCTCCTCCTGGGCGTGGAGGCAGCGGCGTTTGTGATATTTCTGCAGACGCAGCAGGTGAGTGATCTCGGACAGGCACGCCACATCTTCGAAGCCATTCGTCGAAGGAGCAGTCGACCTGACTACAGTGTCTCGCGGAAGCTGGGGTCGATGCATTGTGGAAGGCAGAGCCTGTTGCGAAGTCGCCTGTTGGGTGGTTATTTGTCCGGATGTGGTGGGCGGCGAGTTGGGCTCCCACGGTGGTGCCGCTTCGTCGGCCATGTTGGGTTGCGATGGAGGGCCAGGGCTTGGCGGGTTGGGCATGAAGTCGAGATAGCGCGGAGAGCCATCCAGATGTGAGGTTCCGGGCGTGGAAGACCTCGAAGCATGGTGCGAGGTGCGCGGTGACACGAGGTCGGAGGCTGCATGAGCAACATGAGTTAGCGCTGCGGTTGACAGAAGCCAGCATTCGCCAGCTCATCATACAGGATGCTCTGGCGTATCACGGGCAGCAAACGGCAGCAAGCACGTCCAACATACATGGCCCATCCTTCTCCTCGCCTTCTGGTGGCGAGCGCGTGTCCGGCATGGCCTGCGCGGCGACGACGTGGTTGGATTGTCGCAGTGTTTCGCGCAGAGGTCATTCCATGTCTGCGAGCTGCGGCGCAACTGAGTCGCTGACGCCTGCGCCGAGCTTAGAATATGCTGCCACCCGGGCCTGCTCTGGCACTGCTCCCAGGCACGCCTTGACCGGTTGATGTTGATGAGTGGTACGTTTCCAGAGTCAGACGAGTGAAGCGAATTAACGAACAAAAGACATGTGTGCGTGTGTGATCAGACCTCATCGCCGTTGATCGCACTGCTTCTTGCCTCCGCCGGCAGCTCACCACGCGCACGAGTCGCGGTCCGCTGGCAGACCGGGCGATGATTGGCGAGGCGGCTTCACACCCACACACCCTACCCAAGCTCCCCAGTGCTGCATTTGGCGGCGTGCAGTGCACAGCTGGCGAGCTGACTGGCGATGTGTCCGCTAGCTTGCGCATGCGCTGGCTGCGGATTGGATGCTGGCACAATGTGAGGACGGGTAGTGAGCTGGCCTCACCACGCATATTCTACCCTGCTGATTCGTCACACTGCTCTGCGACGCGGTCACTCTCCTGCGGCCAGCTCGCCTAGCCTGAGATGGGCAGTTGCAGGCTTGCAGCGCTCCATCAACTGTTGGCCCGACCACGACAGACGTCCATTTCAATGGCCACTCCACTTGCATACGCGCTGCTGCTGCTGCTGCTGCTGCTGCCGTGTCGCGACAACGCCTCGCGCAAATGCAGCCGGCCGTGGTGAGACGAGATCCAAAAGCTCCGCGACGCCCGGCGAGTCGAGCTGCACGGCATAGTCATCAGTAGGTCGTGGCGAACGGGTGCTCCGCTGCTGCAACGGCAAAGCCAGTAGTCGCCAGCGCAGCATCATCAGCGGAGCAGCAGCAAAAGCATGCGAACCATCTGACCTCGACGTGTTCGCTGTCCGCCTCGCCCGCCTCTCGTCCCTGAATCTGGTTGTCCACTCGGCTTCCACTCGCACATGTGGCAGCAACGCTACTGCAACTTTGCGAACGGGAGGAGCACTTTTCTAAACCCACAGACCTCCATCGTTCATGCGAAAAGACGGTCGACGTCACCGCTATTCACTATCTACAGCAGTACTATGCACTCCGCCCTGCTAGGAGGTAGGTGAGCTCTCCGAACGATGCCTTGCACATTGTATCACGACATTCAGGCACGCCAAGTACCACAGACACGTCACCGACTCCCAGGGATGCCTTGCCTTGACTTCCACGGAGCCTGGGGAGAGAGAAAGTTACAATCCTCGAAATATGCTTCTCGAACCGCTTCTAGCCGGAGTACTTCCCGCCTGCGTACCGTACTTCACGTCAAGGCATGGGGTTTCAATGCTGGTTGCTGGCCTGTTGAGGGTGATGCGCTGTCACGACTCCACTTTCAAAGCTGATGCACATGTGCTACGGCATTGAGATGTCTGCCCTGCCGAATGGGTGAGAGAATCGCCGTGAAAGAGATCATCCTCTCTCGCAGCACACGATCGTGGCTGCAGTTAATTTAGCTGAGAGTCTGGCCTGCATGTCTACAAAAATCCCAATGCCAATACCAATGGCCTGTCCTTTCCTCTCGCGGCTGCCTTTTCGCCCGGGGTCTATTTTCCATCATTATCACCAAGAATCGCTTCCAACCAGTTCTAAAACGCCATTTCAAACGCCGACAGCCGTATCCCATAACCTTCGTGAAAATTGGTCATCAACAGTGAGAAACATCTCTCCTCCCAGGAACTGTCCAGCCCCATTCCACCTCACATAATCTTCCCTTACAACACCTCCACCTCAACCACCCAAACCTCCAAACCTCCCTCTCACACCGCCACCACCCCTCCCTGCCCTCCCCCTTGCTGTCCCTGTTGCTGCCCCCCACCAACAGCCTGCAAATACTGCAAAATCGAACAATCATTACACTGAATCAACTTCTGCAAATCCACAACCTGCTGCTGCAAATTCTGCACCGCCTCCATCGCCGCCT